TTCAACTTGGATCCAAGGCACATATCTAGTCCATGACATACTTTAAGCCCACCAAACAATGACTAAGACTCATATCCTTTTGAATTGAAAATATCTAGTCCAATCCAACTTACCAAACGGAATAAAATTTTGACCACTTGAGTATGAGTATAATTTGAATGTTGCCAAATGGGTTCGAGTACTAATGGAGAGGAATTCGAGATCCACTCAAAAGATTTGAGTGGTTACTTTGAAATCACGTAATGCAATGTCATTCCTGATTTCTAATCTTGATTATTTTAGTAAACTATACATCAAAATCGGCATGAAATAATGCAATTTTGAGAAACTCACAGGAAAGACATTAGCTATGATATCTTAAATAATTGCAAGATTCTTGGCTCCATTTCACAATTCAAAAGATTTGGCTTCACGTTTGATATCTTAATTAATCTGGTTGATTTACTCTATACTTAATTTTTTTTTTGGGGTGTTAAACGATCTATAAATAAAAATAAACAAAAACACAAATCCTCAAAGGTTGAGTGCTGTGCAGGCTGCAGCCAAGTTTGATTCACCTATTTTAAAGAGCTCATTTTTCTCAATGAAAAGCGACGGAACACCATAAAATTAAAATTAAAACATCAGGGCCGGGTCTTTGGAATTTGTGGTGGCTGTCTTTTGCCGAATACCATAAACAAATGCAACTATACTAGGACTAAAAGGAATATTATTCAATTATTGGTCACTCAGCCTACTAAACAAAATATTTTTTTATTAATAGAAATTTAAATCAACGTGACACTTAAAGTATCAATCTCAAAAGAGCAACAAACAAACACGCTAAAATTAAAACTAAAACGGCATCAGACGAACATGCTAAAATCAAAACTAAAACGGCATCGGTTTAATATTTGTTCTACATCTATCCACTTGATGTATAAAATGTCAGTTGGCTTGAGCCATGTAATTCAGCATATATATATGCTCCATGTTGAACACATTTTGATGCCAAGGTCTCAACAACCACCTCTTTCTTTTTTTTCTTTTGTTTGTTTTATGATGAAACATTTAATTTATTTTGAACTTTTGTTTTCAGATGACATGTGCGTGGCGAAATATTCCAACTTCGTAAAACCAGATTAGAGTCAGTGACAGTGAGCTTGACAATATTTATATAGTCAAAGTATGCAGCCTGTAAATAAATATAAATAACGTCTTGGACTGGCAACTAAAGATGGCATATTTTTTATATTTTTTATTATTATTTTTTTAAAGGATGCAAAAGTACGTACCATTTCAAAGGTCTTTAATTGACCGAATACGCGAAATAATTATCTCTATAATATAATTAAATTATATAAGATAATTTTGGTCAAGCAGCCATTGGAATATTAGCATTTATAGTTGACTTTAAGTGTTTACTTTCATAGAAAATACGATGAATCGAATTGCAAGGCGTTGGAACCCTTAAACAGTGTCAAATCGAAGTATATGCATTGAGCAAGTGATTTGTAGCTTAAGTGATTAACATTATTTACCTAAGCATTCAATCCAAGCATACAAGTTCGAGTCTTCCATCCCCCAATATCACGTGTATCAAAAAAAATATTGGAGGTATATATGCATTGATTGAGCTCATAAAGGAAAATCATGTAAGGTGAACTGAAACTTGAAAGACCATGACATTTCAGGGGTTACAAAGTAAGCAGATGGGGGTTGTGTTGTTGTGTTATATTATTTTACAGGGGCCACACCGGCCAATTTATCAAGTTGACATTTATCACCACCAGTACAACTTGATAAAATAAATTATAGTTGAAAAAAAAAAGTATATAGTTGCATACTTATATAGATGAGAAAAATATGAACTAGAAAGATGTGATTAAAACAATTTTATAAAATAATAATTAAAACCAAAAGACGTGACATTAGATTAAGGATATATTCAATTTGTTGATTAGATCAATTATTTTTGTTATCAAATAATTATCACTAGGGCTGTCTCAATCCACTCAAGTAAAAATAAAAATCTATGGCATCGGCTGTGGCAATAATTTGACTAAGAACCGTATGCAAAAAGTTGGATTCTTTGAGAAAGAAAGAGAGAAAGAAGAAGCATTGTGTTTGATATTGTTGAGCTGACTTCAAGTCATCCACTAATCCAACTGGAACTTATCGAAGGAAGTTGAGGTTCCACTTTAAAATTAATTGGCATAGACCAACTTCTTATAAGCCTTTTTCTCATAATATTTTATATAACAATTAAGGACCAAGAGGAAATTACTAAGTAAAATAACATTAATTCCCCACTAACTTTTTAAATTAAATTCTGAATTATAAATGGATCATGAGAGCAATGGGTGACACATATTGTATTGTTGGAATCATAAGTTTGTATCATAGTGTATTTTTATTTAAATTTACGGTCCAAAAATCTAGATTGATAATTTGACAACATAATATCATATATTTCGTAAAAGAACGTTGACATTTGACATCAACACATAGCCTAAAGAAATAATCCTTGTAGAAAAATTAAAACTACTAGTGCACTTAATTAATATAGTAGATCCCGACTTGAATAATTAACAACAACAAAAGATTCAAATAAATGTTAATTAAACTTGAGCTGCCGATGTTTTTTAAATTTAGTTGTCTTTCTAACCTTGGAAGAAGATTCATGAATCATGATGAACCATTTCCATGTGTAATGTCACTTGCATCATGCATGTACAACGAATCTCAGACCTCGTTTGCACCAGCAGGGAGGCAGCAAGCAACTAAGAACAATAATTAATTTAATATTGGCTAAATCGTAATTAAGACCACCTATTTAATGCGTGGAGATCTTAAGCACGTTATCTTGTCATGCAGGAAGGCAGGCAAGGACCAAAGTAATTTGGCTTCGATCTCAGATCACTGCGCAGCATTTATACAATATTTTAGTCATCATTGGATGAATATATAAAAAAATTCACTGGAGAATTTAGTCTTTTACTCATATCATAGCAGTAGTTTTTCTCTCCTAGCTAGCTAAGCTAGGGTTTTCACCATGCATGCTGTGTGGAGAGACAAACCAAAACCCAAGGTTAGGTGTTGCTAGCTATACTTATACAGTCGTATATATTACGTACGATTGTCAACTGTTGATATAATGCGGCAAATATACAACTTCCAACTTATAATTCAATCTAGTAAGTATTGTAATGTAAAGAAAATCTTGTAAGTCTAAACCAAGACTGGTCATATATCTAATATCTATAATTGCATGTGAACATTCATCAGTTGTGTTCAAAATTTCGTAGCTCTAAACGCCCGACCCGACCACTTAGATTGACCAACTGCTAGACTTTTTATAAATAAATAAATTAAATAGTTAAAAAATATTGATAAATGTGGACTAAAAAATTTTCTTCTACATCTATTATGTATGGATGACTGATTGGCTTTTTTTGGGTTGGAGTGGCCAAACTTTTCATGAGATGGAGAGAATTTTCACTAAATAGGGTGGACTTCATAAAATTTAGCACCAAATTTCAATTTATTGACTTCAAAAACAATTTTAATTATTTTTAAAAAAAATTGCAGTGAATTAGAGCTCACGCTAATCTGAAAAGGTTCAGCCCTACACTACACACAACCGGACCAGACCGGCAAAGCTGGGGTTGAGAGACTGGGAGCTTCTATAAGGGGTGTGGACCCCCCAATGCACCCCCCATGTGCTTTGTTTTTTGTTGTTGATGGTGAGATTTCACCTCCTCAAATAACCTCCTCACTCAACCTCCTCATTCTAGCCTTTCCGTGAGAGACTATTGAAATTTGGGCGCATGTGAGGCGATCAATTTGGTCCAACTGGTTTGCAAGGTTTGAAAGAGATTGGGCGCACCAGACGAGACTTGCAACGTTCCTTTGTCAACCTTGGTGTGCCATTCGCTCACATCCAAAATTAAATAGTAATTGAGAAGATGTGACCCAAACTCTTTATCAAGTTCATCGAATCTCCATTCTATGGTTATTAAACGAACACTTAAAGCCTAGTTCAGTGAAAATCGGTCTTAACTTGCAGACTAGTAGTGTTAGGTTTGAACTCTCAATACATTTTGACACTGTGTGATAAAACATTTCTCTTTCAATTAAACTAACACTTAAAGCCTAGTTCAGTGAAAATCGGTCTTAACTTGCTGACTAGTAGTATTAGGTTTGAACTCTCAATACATTTTGGCACTATGTGTGATAAAACATTTCTCTCTCAATATCGCTTGTATAAAAAATAAACATATAGTTATAAAGAAACATTCATTCATTATTGCACTTCGTAATAACACGAATAGTTTCTTTTTCTTATATTTTGATTCTTCGAGTGTTTTTCGTTAACATTAACAGTTGTCAACGACTGCAATATAATTGATGAAAATGATGGTTTTGTTTGGGAGGAAAAATATGTGTCTAATTTAACAAACTATTCTATTAGACTGGTGAAAGATAGCTACTACGCTAGTCTAGCTCCTTGTCCTGGAAATTACGTACGAAATAGCATGACCTAAGCGACGACCAACCACCCATGTCTATGTAACATGTTGTCTTTTAATGATTTTGGCTTTACTTTGTGTTTGGTACAACTGTGACCTGTCCGAGCTTACATATTTTGACCCAGAAAGAGAATCATGCGGTTTAACACAGGTCCCCCCTTCCGCCAATTTAAAGTGTTAGGGAAGGGAACCATTCTATAGAAACATAAGTTGGGTGACCGTCAATCCTCTCTCTCTCTCTCTCTCTCTCTCTCTCTCTCTGAACAGTGAAACTTTTAAACCATACAAATGGAGTGGACTGTGAAGAATTCTTAACTTGTTTCTTGGGTCAAACATAATGTCTTAACCTACTCAAGCACAAAAAACAGTATTGCCTAATGAAACAAATTCCATTATATAAGCCGAAAAATTAACTTACATGAGTACATATCGGATACATTCATATTGTAATTTGCCGGGCAGACTTTCCTTTGTTTGCATCTGCTCAACTTATCAACTACTACTTCCCCCAGTTGCCTAAAATTCAGGTTGGTCATGTTTGTCCAACTCAAGTGCCATCCTTTTCATCAAATAAAACATATCTGGTATGCTACATGGACTGCCACCAGCACTGCCTTACATGTGCTATATACATAAGTAGAATGGATACAAGTAATATGCGTACTACACCATCGTATGGCAATGCAAAAATATAAAAATGTGTTCTGTATGCAATGCAGGCTTATGTGCAGAAACAATACCGAACGATCATGTAAGCGTGCAATGCAGGCTCCTGCTATTAGGGTTCCTTTACAGCATTCTTTGGCAGATTATCAACAACAGACAGCCCACTTTCTGAAGCAATTACTGCTGTGCATCTGTAGTTCACCAAGTAAGAAGACAAAATTAGTGGTTTATCCTACCTAGTAAACATTTTAAGAAATGAAACTTAAGGAAGAACCAAGAGAATTATTTTTATAAGGTAGATATGGAATCTCTGTTTGTGAACAAAAACAATGGAACAACTGATTAAGAATGTTGAGATGCCCAAATGGACTCACAAGGTGTAACTGTGGAAGTTAATACAGTTGAATCCATTCATATACCTTCCCCCAAAACTCTCAATCTCCAGAAACAGTTAATTAGAATTGCCCAAATCATCTATTATCAGAACCATCACCAAGACCTAACCAATTACAAGCATTGTGCTGCTTCTTGTAAAAGAGTGATACTCCCTGGTTTATAAACTTTATATATAAAGCAATATGTAGTAGCATATCTGTAAAAGCATAAAAGAGTTTACAAGGGGAAAAAAAACTTAACGGGAACTTGGAAATGATTCCATGGTCTATGACCCCATCAACTTCATCAAGGCTCTTCGATACTTCATCTACAATTTAAGTTCACGAAGACATGAAAACTTATTTTCAAGCGTGGAAGCATATATTAAAACAAGAAATGATGGAGATTTTAAGACCTACTGAGGCTTAGTATTGGAGATGTAAATATGACATCAAGAACATTATGGCCTTCTTTGGTGACTAGTGGGAAGTCACCGCCATTAGGACCCGCGATCCCAATTGATGGTCTCCTCCATACCTTCAGAAGTGACAAAAGGAAAATATCATTAGGAAAGACGACTGAATCAGTAATATAGGTTAATTATGTACTAGCTCCTTCTTTCTTATTAACAATTTTTAATTGTGAAGTTTTGTTTGCTTATTTCTTATTAAACAAACAAACAGATGCAATCACTTTTTCACTGAGAGAAAACAATGAGATGTTCTTGCTTTCTTATGATAAACTAACATATAATTGATGAGGAATGCAAACAAAAGAACTACTTAATGGTATGATGAGAAAGCAGACCTCTGCATCACCTAAAAAAAGGTCATCAATCTCTTCAGCAGCTTGCAGCCAGTTGAGCTGAAATTTAATTTGCGTGTTCAGACAACCTTTCTCGTACTATGGAACTTGATGGTTCACTTAATTAAAACAAGCAATGAATATCGCTTCTTACAGAATTCACTAAAACTGGAATAGAACCATCCGGACCACTTTTGTACTGGTTTTCTGTGATCATGAACACAAGCTTATTGGCTCCGTTTAGTATAGACTGCAGGGGAAAAGAAAAAGGAAATTTTCCAGTAAGTGCTTCATATTAAGAAACATAGGTTTAACATATCAAATTATGCAACTTGGATGGTCGTAAAAAAAAAAAAAAACAATATTGCAGACTCAATTTTTTCATGGGTTGAGAAATTTGCCATGCTATTGCTTGAGTTCTAACAGTTCATGTAAACAGGACAGGCAACAGTATCGTGACTGACCTTCTCTTGGATTATGGACTCCTCTCCCTGATTTCTTGTTCGCCCAATGACAGATATAAGTGTTCCTTCTTCTATAATATCAGCATCATCAAATGCAAAATCAATCTACAAAGGAGCAAGTTAAAATGATATTCTACTAAGGTTAGATTTTTGAATCTTCCGTGATCACATTGAGAGTGATGCATTGTGCATTGTCAAGAAAGTGTCTAAGAATATCTTTACAACTAGCTGACATATCATTTTCAGTTCTCATATCCTGATAAATTTCAGAATTCTTTGATTCCAGTCAAAACCAAATGCATGGACATCAATTAGTGGTGTGCTTTCTCCAAACATATAATACTCGAAAACCCCAAATGAAAAGGAAACTTTCTTATGTTTAGAATGTGTGCACACTTGAGAACAATACTCATAGTGACCCAATGGAATTCCTGCCTTTGCCGCCTCACTTGCACATGCTATGGACCTGCATAAATCCAAAGTAAATTCCTTTATGAAAAAACAAAGAGGAAAGGAAAAGAAAGTGTAATGCTTTGGCTCACAACCCTTCATTGGACATGGAGCCCGACTCTACAAACACAAGTTTTTCCAATTTGTCTCAGTTTCACCAGTTGATGGAGCTGAGAAGAAAGATTCAGTTACACGATTCGAAGACATCACTTCTTTCCATACTTACTTTAGGGATCTTAAGAACTTTGGAAGGAGCCAAGAAATCAGAAGCATATTTTTTTTTCTTTTAAAAAAGAATTATGAATTCTTAATCAGGTTACTTACATTGGTATCCCCACTATATCTTTTAGAGCACCTGCACCAAGTTGCAGACCTATATACTGTATGGCCATATCTGAAGCTAGGCCAGACCCCAACCCAATAACCATACCACTTTTAATGTATGTATCCACCTAGAAAGTCAAATATGAATATTCCTTGAATTAGTTCCTACATATAACAATCATACAACTTATAAAAGCAAGAAAACAATATACCATTATTATTATTGTCAAATTTTTTATGTACCTTTATACTGCTATGTCAGCCTTTCATATTCCCTTCAATTTTGATTTTCATGTTTCTTTCTTACTAAACTAACAAACCATACTTAACCTTATTGAGCCAAACTGACGAAAGATGCCTCCTTTTTCCACTAAAATGCACATATGATGAAATAGAGAGCAACGAAATCCTAGAAGAGACATACCCTAAAATCAACACATATGCTACAATTGCCCTTAATAATTCACCATTTTAGCAAAGAAAGTGAATATAATAGCTCACACTCACTCACTTAATAATTCACCTTTCTTTCTTCCATTTTCATCTTATATGGCTCTTTCTCCTTTTACTAATTTCGAGAAATTTGTTTCTAACATCAATTTGCCCTGCATCAAGTTGTTGAGAAAATTAAGTAAAAGAAACTGACTTCTCTATGTTATGCTCTAGAATACTAAAAAAAGTAAGAATAAGAAGAAAGAACCATGATGAAAACCAATCAAAACAGATTTTTTAAGCTGAAGTCCATCACATATTGCAATGTACAAATGATGAGAAAGTGCAGAACACATCAACACTTACGCTCATAATATCTCTAAACAGACAATCAGAATGTAATAGATTAAAATGCAAGGAAAATAAACATAATAAAAAACACATCAAACTATAAACACATACAGTGTGGTGGGCTGCTTGGAAAAGAGCAGAGCCACCAGCGAGACTGGACCCAGTAATCTTTAGACAATGGGTCCTTCTCCTCCTCGTGCTGCTGCCTCCTCTTCCTCTGGAAGTTGGTAAAGTTAGAGAAGAGTACAGGGGATTTGATGATGCTATGGCTATGTATGCCAGTGCCATCCTCACTCTTCCTCTGACAGTTTCACTATAATGGATAACAGATAAACCAACTCTCAATTTGTGCTCTAAAACTCTGAAGCAGTTGGGATACGTCACCTTCAACCTCAAACCGCCACTTCATCTTCAGCAATCAGCACCACTGGATCTGTGGGACCGCAGCCCATACGGGATTGGTGGGCTTTGTGCAAATGAATGTGGGGCGTCCTCATGAATCAAAACCGAAGCTGATTTCCACCAAGCCTTTGGGCCAGACCACGAGTCCAAGATCAACTGTTAGTCTATGGCCAAGCCTAGGCCCATGTCTATTTTCTCTCTTTTTCATTTTTTGATACAAATGATACTGGGAGAGGAAGGGATTCAAACACGATAGTGCAGGGGTAGCTGCTCTTAAGCATGCAGATAAGTGCTTTTCTTTTAAATTGTTGTCCTGAAAGGAATAAGACAATATCGAGCTCCAACAAAAAAGTGAGACAAGTGCTCTACTACAAAAGTAACTTTCACCTAAATTACGAGAACTGAAACTATGTTTCAATCAACTGAACATAGACCAAAATGACTGCACCCACTTGGTTAGCTTGGACTTTATTCATACAAGTTACAACTAATTATGTGTCTTATTTAATTACAAGTTCATGGTTCAGCTAAATGAATGAGAAATTTACTCGTCCTTTTGGGCTATAACATTGATATAACATGCAAAAGAGAAAATGTACAGTTAAACACCTCAACGTTCATAACAAAATTCAAATTAAAGGCACATTCATCAAAATGTTGTAATGTACCTCTGTAAACCCAATTGAATTGCATCAAAGAAAATCTCAAGTGTTTCTGCTCAACTTTTTGCTGAATGTGTATACAGAGAATGAAAAAGACAGACCAAGATTAGAGATGGGCACCAGGCTTTGCACTCAAACATTATCATCACCTTTTGACCCAACAAAAAAAAAAACATTATCATCACCTTTTTCTTCCAAATAGATGGAATCAGTCAAGGACCAACGGTGGTAGACAGGTTTTTTTTTTCTTTCTTCTTCCCCTTTTCCTTTTGGTATTGTCACATGGAGAAGGCCATCAATTGGACTCAAAAAGAGTGATCCTAATGATTGAAGAATCAGGTTCTTTTGGCACACCAAGAACTCCCAACGACTATTAAATAAAATCATGTTCTTAAAAGTGTACACTGGAAAATGGATGCATCATGTGTATGCCCTACCATATGAGGAAGGCACATAGAAATATATTGAGCAGAAAAGCTTAGGAAAATCATGAGATTACCCAATTGCAGAAACGGTATAGAATCCAATAGAAATATAACCTGCACTCAAAATCTGGCCTTTTTCACATGCGCACTCATATGTAGTGTACTCAATACACCACCGTCCCACAACACCCCCACCCATCAGACCAGAAGGTCCAAAACTTAACCCTCTCTCTCCTCTTATCTTCTCTCTCTACTTGTGCAGTGTCACGGGTGGCCTTAAAAAATTAGAACGTTGGAGCAAGTAGACAATTGCAAAGAAAAGGCCCAAGACAAAAGATTAATGTTGACCTGACCCGTCAAAACACCATCAAGCTACTATCATTTCCAATTAGATATATCGAAAAGTATGTGGAGATATATACATATTTTTACAAGCAGATAACTGGAAACTGGTATTTGCAGTTTCCCACAAATACATGTATTACGTGCCAATCAATAACAATAGCAAAAATCATGTGGTTGTATAAATGTTAAGAAATGATTATCTTTGTGCAAATAAGAAAACCAAAAAGGGATGATTTGAAGTTGGGTTGCCGACGGATTTTTATATTTGGGTTGCCAACAGTGGATGATATAATACAAACAAAATAAAACGTTCGAATGCCGTGGCCTTGGAAGACCCTTTGCATAAAACATACGTTCAAATACACAGCATCCAATAAAGTGTCCGCGGATTCTCTATGCTCCAGCTATTACTACTCTCTCTCTCTCTCTCTGGTCTCTAGTGTACTCCAGTTTCTTGTGTACGCACAAACAAAAGTATACAAAAGGGTTCCTTTTTTCACCGAAAAGAGCTTTGCTTTCTCGGTCAGATCACTTCTAATCTGGGGAGGCTTCAAGTTTATTGTGCAGTTTCCATTCACACCAATTATCACATTCAGAAAAGGGTCTCTGGTTTTGTGGTTCTTCACTCAGCTGCACTCCACATTCTGCAAATTGTTCCAAGAAAGAAGCTTGCTTTGGAAAATGGAGGACATGGGTTGTTAAAGACTTGTGCCCAAAGGTCTTTTTGTTCATCTGGGGAGTGTTCTTTCCTGGGATTTTGATCTTCTTGTGCTTTAGATCTAAAATGGGCAGAATTTATGGGGTGCACTTAATGGTGTTACTTTTTTTGGGGATGTTTATGAGCTCGTTCTGTCAAGATGATGATTCTGATAACTTCACGGCTGTGTATATTGTCACTCTTAGAGAAGTTCCTGCTGCTCATTACGAAGCTGAGCTGAGGAGGAACAGTACTGGTATCAGACATGGCGGCGCTTCTGAGAGGTTGAACATTCACAAACACAGGTACTATTTTACTCTTCATTTTCAAAGATTTTCTTACTATCTGAAATTATTTTGCTTTTAATTTTCTATGTTTTATTTGATCCCTTGAAGCTGGTTTTCAATTATGATCCAAGCAGTAGTATTGAAGTTTCGTTTCCTCATGTGGAGAAATCAATTTGGATACTTGTATTGTGGGATAGTTTGGGTCTTACTTTCCCTTTACCATAGAATAACTTGAATTCTAGAGTAAATACTTTCCCTTTACCATAGAATAACTTGAATTCTAGAGTAAATATTAGTGGTACTTTCCTTTTACACTCCTTGCATGGATCTCTCGCTCATGGGGTCCCCTGTTGCTCATTTTTCATACACTGTCTGTACAATTTGTCTCTTATATGAACATGTGGAAACTTGTGGTTATCATATTGCCCCTTTTCCGCCTTCATCATACCCAACAATTGGGTAAACTCATCAGGTATGGGGTAGTAAGGTCTCCAGCCTGCTAAAAGTTATTTATTCATGATGTTGATTGGTTTTCTTTTTCTTTCCCCTCCCTTAATTATTCCTCATTGCATTATTAGGACCTTAAACTTAATTGATTTTAATGTTTTCTTTTTAGATTTAGAAATATTTCAAGAACGGATAAGAGGTATAGCTCTTATATTGCTCGAGTTCATGATTCGCTATTGAGGAGGGTGTTGAGAGGGGAGAAATATCTGAAGCTGTACAGCTACCATTACTTGATTAACGGATTTGCTGTGCTTGTTACCCCAGATCAGGTATAACATCAGTGAAATTCTGGTATTATATAGTAATCATTACTATGTCAAATTCCACAATTATGGTGCTATATAGAATTGTGATACTCCAATTATTACTTTTGAATGTTTACATTTGCTTGTATTTCTGAGTAATTTGGAACATGGCATGTCTGCGTATTGTAGTATCTTCCTTTGCCTATGTGAAAAGGTGTAATTGATCATAAATTCCTAATTTGGTGATATTGCTGAATTTTGGAGGTTGATAAGCTTTCCAGGAGGAGAGAAGTAGCAAATGTGGTTTTGGACTTTTCTGTTAGAACTGCAACCACCCATACCCCTCAGTTTTTGGGTTTGCCACAAGGAGCGTGGGCCCAAGGAGGCGGATATGAATTAGCTGGAGAAGGGATGGTCATTGGTTTCATTGATACTGGCATTGATCCAACTCACAGTAGTTTTTCTGACCATACATCTGAACATCCATATCCAGTTCCGGCCCATTTTTCTGGCATCTGTGAGGTTACCCGGGATTTCCCATCCGGTTCATGCAATAGGAAGCTTATTGGAGCCCGCCATTTTGCAGCATCTGCGATAACCAGAGGTGTTTTCAATTCATCACAGGACTTCGCTTCTCCATTTGATGGTGATGGCCATGGCACGTGAGTTGTCTTGCTTTCCCTGAGAGAAAGTACTCTAAGACTTTTGTATCTGTGTTATTTTATCTCAATTTCAAGTTTGCAGCATTAGTGCCTTTATAGAAAGACACATGAAAAACACTAAATATGAGAATCTGTTGGTCTTATATGGGGACTTTTGACCTTGAGATTCGCCTAAGGACCTGCTCATCTCAAGTTTGCCCATCTCTGTTTTCTACCTGGCCAGGTAGAAAACTGATATTATTAGAGCACTGAGACATACTGATATATTTTTTTTCTTTTTCTTTTATTTGAGTTCCTGCATGCTTGACGCTGATATTCATGTTAGAGGCATCATGTGTCTCTGTGGAACTGTTATAGATTTCTATGTTTTCATTTTAATGAAATATATCTTAATTGTTAATCATCTTTCACAAATGAACTTAAATTATGCAATTTACTTCAACATGCAAAAGAAAAAGTATTTTAATAAAAGTGATAACCCAATAAATTGATGAAAACTTGAAATGTTCATATGACTCTCAAGTTACAATCTGAGAGAAGGTGGTTCAGCTGCTTTTATGATACTTGAAAGACAGTCTGGTACCTTTTAAAATGCTATGAAAGACAATTTAGTTATGTCTGCTTTATGTTGTTAACACCATTTGATGGATCTCATTTTAATTTACAGGCACACTGCTTCCATTGCTGCAGGAAACCATGGAACTCCAGTGGTTGTTGCTGGGCATCATTTTGGAAATGCAAGTGGGATGGCTCCTCGTTCACAGTAATTAATCTAGATCTGAGTGTCACTTTTTCTATTGATGTGATGTTTGTTGTTTCTGGTAGAATGTGATGCATAAAAAGGGAGCAATTCCCTAACATAAGTTTCTTTCAACTTGTGAGAAACAAAATTAACCTAAGTCCGAAATTCTTTTAATCAGTAATTCACTCAGTCCTTGAACCTGTGACAACCCTTTCCTCTTTGAATATGTGATGCCTAACAGAATCCACCTTTCTCCAGTACATAAACAATTGGGAGTATTTATGTTTTTATGTTTTAACTACATCTCTATCTATTCCAGCATCGCTGTTTACAAGGCACTGTACAAAGGCTTTGGAGGCTTTGCTGCTGATGTTGTTGCTGCCATAGACCAGGTACATGCCTTTTGTTCGATTTCTGCAAACTATATTCTGCCAAACAGCTGAGTCTCTATTGGGGTTTCAAACCGATAAGAAAATCAGTTTTTTCCATACCTTTTGTTCCATATAGATTCTTTGCCATTTTAGCATATTTAATTTTGGTGATTTATTATGCATTCCCAGGCTGCTCAGGATGGGGTTGACATAATAAGCTTATCAATCACTCCCAACAGGCGTCCTCCCGGCGTGGCAACATTTTTCAATCCCATAGACATGGCATTACTATCAGCTGTAAAGGCTGGTATATTTGTTGTACAAGCAGCGGGCAATACTGGACCATCACCAAAGAGCATGTCTTCCTTCAGTCCATGGATATTCACTGTTGGCTCTGCCTCCCATGACAGAGTCTACAGCAACTCTATAATCCTTGGCAACAATGTCACCATTCCAGGAGTTGGACTTGCACGTAAGTTTGTCTCCTGAATTGATTGCTCTACTTCTCTTTAAATTTTTCATACAGCATCATCTTAACAACAATTGCTGTCCTGACTCTTTACACTTTGGACTCAGAATTAACTTTTGACGTGATACGAACTGGATCATCACTCTTAGTGAAACAAGGTCCATTATAGTTTATAAGCTGCCTTTCTACAATTGAATATTTTCTGGTGATACATTTGGATCTGAGAGTTATGTGGGTCTTCGTATCATTATTAAAGATCCAATGACTCCAGTCCAATAACTTTTGCTAGAGAATTGTCAAAAGAGACTATGTTCACAGGAATTCCACATTGCTTAACCTTGACTGTTTCCTCTTTCCTGATTTTCTAATGTGAGAGTTCCTTTTTCCGTTGGTTGTTATGTCTATTGAATGTCTAGATGAATTTTGAGGTAGACTTGAGTTTTCAAGAACATGCTGGTTCCTTTCTCACATGAAATGTCACCAATAGGGCTGATCCTTACATATCCATTTTTTATGGTTAGCATCTCGGTGTATGTCATTGCAACTTGCATGGGATGACTGTACTCCTGATCTTTTAGATAGAGTTGATTTTTTTGCACTTGCTGGTTCCCTTCCAAAGTATGACATTACTAAATCTGTTACCTTGTAGACAATCTTCTATGGCCAATATCTTGGTGCATGCCATTGCCACTTATATGTGAACCATGAACGCACCCAATTAGATTAGATAGTAATCCTGATTACTTCTGTTTCTGCTACAGCGGGAACAGAGAATGATACAATGTACACGCTGATTTCTGCCGTACATGCTTTGAACAACGGCACAACAGTGGCAGATGATATGTATGTGGGTGAATGCCAAGACTCAAGCAAGTTCAATCAGGATTTGATCCAGGGGAACCTCTTGATCTGTAGCTACTCAATCCGGTTTGTGCTTGGGATCTCCACAGTCAATCACGCCCTGGAAACAGCCAAAAACCTAAGTGCAGTTGGTGTCGTCTTCTACATGGATGCTTTTGTAATTGGTTTTCAGCTTAACCCAACTCCAATGAAAATACCTGGCATCATAATCCCATCCCCAGAGGATTCCAAGGTATGCAAATTTATGTTTATGCATGCACATTTATTAATTTGTTGTATATTGTTTTCTTATTCAAAATTATAAATATCATCCCATATGATGAGGATTTGATATATACATAAATACCTATATAGATACATAAGTGTTGCTAGACTGTGAGTATGAACTTTGATTAGGTTGATTATTGCCTGAATGTGTGGTCTAGATTTAGTATGGCAAGAGAGCATTACCCAACCATTCAAAACTTTTAACCATTTGAAAGTGTTTAATTGTTTAAGGGGAAGTTGATGCCCTGACACATATTAGGGTTTATCCCTCCCTCCCTCTCTCTCAGCAGTTAATAAAGCTTTATGATATATTTGGCAGGTTTTACTCAAATACTACAATTATTCCTTGGAGAGAGATATCATGACAAAGAGAATTGTCAAATTTGGGGCCCTTGCAACCATTTGTGGAGGTTTCAAAGCAAACTACAGTAGTTCTGCACCAAAGATCATGTATTACTCTGCTAGAGGGCCAGATCCGGAAGACAATTTTCTTGATGATGCAGAAATAATGAAACCCAACTTGGTAGCTCCTGGAAATTCTATATGGGCTGCTTGGAGTTCGGTTGGCGCAGACTCGGTTGAATTTCAAGGTAGAAATACACATACTTGGTAATAGTGATTAAGTTCCAAGTATAACTTTTTGGTATTTTTGTTCATAAATGACAGTTTTGTTTACTCTTCAAACATTATTATATAACTGCTATGTCGTATTTATCTTTCAGGTGAGAACTTTGCAATGATGTCTGGGACAAGCATGGCTGCTCCTCATATTGCTGGGCTTGCTGCACTGGTTAGGCAGAAGTTCCCCAATTTCAGTCCTTCAGCCATTGCATCTGCACTTTCCACAACAGCTTCTCTATATGACAAGAATGGTGGGCCCATAATGGCTCAACGTGCTTATGCATTTCCAGATCAAAACCAGTCTCCAGCAACACCCTTTGACATGGGCAGTGGTTTTGTGAATGCTACAGCGGCACTGAATCCGGGATTGATTTTTGATTCCAGTAAGTTACTCTGTCTCTTCTCATGAAGAAAGTTACTCAACCTGACCCTTATACTTGGAACTTCGCTTATTTTTGTGGAAATCTTTTACTGATTATAACAATCATCTTATCAAATATGGAATTGTGATGCCTTCTCTGTTAGTGTGATTATGATTAAAACAGACTGCTAGGTGTAATTTCTATTAACCTCAATTGAAGGGGACTCTATATATGTATATATGCATATTTTCTGTTTTCTATTTGTTAATGTAAACAAAGACTCCTAGCTGTTTCTTATTTTAAGTGATTATTTTTGTGTTTGATAGTATATTTTGACTGAAAACCATGCTGTCTTCTTGCAGGTTATGACAATTATATGTCATTTCTTTGTGGCATCAATGGATCAGCTCCTGTGGTTTTGAATTACACTGGTGAGAGCTGTTGGGTTTATAATTCTACCATCGCCGGTGCTGACCTGAACTTGCCATCAATAACAATAGCAAAACTGAACCAGTCTAGAACAGTGCTCAGATCAGTGACGAACGTTGGTGGAAATGAAACTTATAGTGTTGGCTGGAGTGCGCCTTTTGGAGTTTCAGTAAAGGTGTCTCCAGCTCATTTTTACATTGCCAATGGGGAGAAACAAGTCTTAAGTGTTTTCTTCAATTCTACGGCAAACAGCACCACTGCTAGCTATGGAAGGATTGGACTATTTGGAAATCAAGGTCATGTTGTCAACATTCCTTTGTCAGTCATTGTCAAAATCACATATAACACTACTAAAACCTAAAACTTGAGGCTGGTTTGCTTTATTTATCTTAGGTTGGTTTTCGTTTTTTGCTTGCAAGATGTGATTAACCAATTTTTTCATTCATTATATTGTAAATGTTTGGTCATGTTAAGTCCTGTAGCATCTTTTGTGTAGATACGGTGGTAATTTTACAGAAGCATTAAAGATCTCTCTCTCTCTCTCTCTCTCTCGCTCTCTCTCATGATGTTGTATGAGTGAAAAATGTGCAGCATATCAGTTAAACTTAATAACGAAGGTAAATTTCCTCTCAATTCTTTTTGTTGGACCTATGCGGAAGAGGGATGTGGATTCTTGGACATATCGTGACATAAATGAAATGTTTTGAATATAACAAAAGCTAATAACTCTGGTAAGATTAATGGCTTTGCTCAAATACCATAGCCTTTTTGGCGTGCTACTCTAGACGCATGCAATGAAGCATGCATGAAGAAAACCATTGTCTTCTTGGCACGCAGGATCTACGTAGTCAAACACCATAATGGCTTTCTTTTTTCTTTTTCCAGAGCAGAAATGTGTTCATTTTCAATTGGTTCGTTTGTGTATTGAGAGATGTAAAGTCATGTCACACATTCAATAAGTGTTCATACGAGATTTGGCAAAGCTATGGCACTCATTTCAACCCATCTGCAATTGCCGAATGCCGATTAGCACTTAATAAAATCCCGCTACTTTTGCCTTCAATTTCTAATGGTTCTGGTGCTTATAAATACAAAATCTTTGAACTTCAAACCCCCATCTATCAATCTGTTTGTCATTTACCAAACTTCATATCTTCTCCAAAGGTGACTTTCAAAATGGGTTTGGTTCAGTTTTGCATGTTGTTGAGTGTGTTGATAATGGCAGCCAATCTGGGGGTGCTTTTTGTTGAGGCACGCCAACACCCTGCAGGGATATCAAAACAGGCTCAAGAGCAAACTGGAAGAGCCACAGAAAGTGGAAATTATCTGAATGAAGGAGAGATTATGGAGCAGTTAAGCAAGGCCAAAATGGAGTTTGGTCAGATGAAGACTTTGTCACCTTTTCCTAATATTCCTGGCGTTCCAATTCCACAGATACCATTTGCACCTCAAACTCCTGGTGTTCCAATTCCACAGATACCATTTACACCCCAAATTCCTGGTTTCCCAATTCCACAAATCCCATTTGCACCCCAAATTCCAGGTGTTCCAATTCCACAGATACCATTTACACCTCAAATTTCTGGTTTCCCAATTCCACAAATCCCATTTGCACCCCAAATTCCTGGTGTTCCAATTCCACAGATACCATTTACACCCCAAATTCCTGGTTTCACAATTCCACAAATCCCATTTGCACCCCAAATTCCTGGTGTTCCAATTCCACAGTTACCATTTGCACCTCCATTTGGAATTCCTAAAATACCTTCAGTCCCACCACTTCCTAACTTTCCAGCCCCTCCTATCAACATTCCCAATATCCCTTTCCTTTCACCTCCTCCTGCATAAGTTTCTAAGTTAAACCATATAAGCTTTATTATGTACTTTGGAAGTTTCAGCAATATGTATGTTAAAAGTTCAGTATGTATTTCCTTGTTAAGGGAACTTAATATGACGATAATTTGCCAGTTAAGTTAAATCCAATGTTACTTTTGTCCAAACTAGAATTTCAATTCAACCATTTCATATTTGCACTTGAGTTGGGGTTAGCTAGTGTGCTGCTATTTGGCTATGTTAAATTTGCAATGAATTAATATTGAAAAGTATTTCCCCCATCCAATTAGCCTTGCAACTTTTGCATTATTCCTTCCAAGTACACAATTATACCTTTCAGATCAGTTGTAGCCAAGTAGTTAAAAGATAACTTTTTCTTATGTCAACTTGTAGTAATTCATATGAGTGATTGAGGAACAATGACTGAATGAAAACAGCTAAAAAGATCATGACTGTATTTGTTATTGTTACAATGGCTACCAGCAACATGATGAAAGCTAAACATCATCAATAAAAACAGACTGCTAGCTATTTGAGACAACAGCATGAGCTAAGCTAACAAAAGGGCACTTCATGGGGAGGCTTTTGCCTCATTCCTTGAAATCACAGACTCTGAATTCTTAGGAACTGGTGGTTGAGGAAGAAAACGATTAACTGAAGGCATGGTTGGGATAAATGGGAATTTGGGTATTGGAGGAATCTTGGGAATGGTTGGAAAGCCAGGAAATGGGAGCAATGTGTTCATGTTTTCAACTGGGTTTGGAAGATCTTGAAAAAATGGCAATGTTGGCTTCATTGGGTTGCTGAAGGGTGATGAAGGGTCAGATCCCAATTGCATGGTCGCTGATGGCTTCTTTAGCTCCATCATGAGGCGAGATGCCAAGCATAAATGAAAGCTGAAAAATAGTGGACCAAGGAAGAGCAAGTACAAGAAAGTAGTGAGATTAGAGAAGGCCATATTAAGATCAACAGAGAACAATGTGACTGAAGGTGGAAGAAAAGGTTAGTGATATTGATGGTGATCAGGGGCTGGGGCTTTTAATATAGGGGCAGAACAGAGAGAGTGAGTTGTAGTTTGGTGTGTTCATGGCTTTCATGCTACTTCTACCTTCAACCTAATACTTGAGTCATGCACAGAGTTTTGTTTTTGACTTTCACACCAGAATTAATAGGAACTGGCACTCTTATATTGAGTTTTACCGGAGTTGGCTAGGTAGATTGCAGAGTCAATTGTGCTGACTAGACTGGGGATTTTTTGGTTTTATAACATACTTTTACAGCCGGTAATGAACCAACAACAAAGTTACACCACCACAATTCATGTAAATCAAACTTGAGATCTTCTTCAACCAAGTCGCGACTAGTTGGTTCCAAATTTGGGACTTTTCAACGAGCAAAAAATGTGCTTCGCTTTGAAGTTTATAACCTTACTAGACATTTAGCCTTTTAATAATAAAGCAAATTAGAAGAAAATAAAGATCAAGCATATCAGTTGCAAAGCAGGAGTAGCGTTGGCATTGCCATATAGATCATGATGAATGTCCTAAAAAACCACTAAAAGCTAATTGTTTGAAAACATAAATAACCCAAAATCATAAACAAAAATTGAAGACAAGAGCATGCAGCATAAAAATCTCAACGTGTTTGCAGTTTACATTAGGGGTGAATTTGAAGTTAGATAAGCTCTACTAAAAAAAAAATTGTTGATAAAAGGCAAAATACATTTCAAATAATTAATCTCTATCCTATACATTACAAAATACTATTAGGATATTTCTTTAAATTAAAAAATAAGTTTCTCTGCATGTTTTTTAAGCTTAAAAAGGTAAAAAGATAAAACAAATAAAAGTAAAATAGTAAAGTAAAAATATAAACGGAGGCAGATTGGCTATTGCAGCGAGCTTAAAGGAAACCAAGGCCTAAAACAGCCCAAAAAGGCAATCAAACTGCGCTGTAAAACTAGAAGAGAAGAAAGCTTACACCCAAAGTTCAGCCATGGCGGGTTCCGATCCAAACAAGTTGATGACCAAAGCCGATAAACTGTCAGTATCTCTTTTCACATCCAATCATTTATTTATAAACGTATATGGTATTATTCTGAAGGTCTATGCATTTGATTCAGTTTAGAAGACCCAAAGTTTGTCTGTTAATTCTTAACACATAGAAACATTTTCCAGTGATTTCGATTAGTTATGGTAGTAAGTGATTGGTAGAATGAAAAAGAGCATTCATTTACTTCAATTTTTGTTTTCTGGGTCAGTGTGAAATTGGATGAAGTTGTATAAATTTTGAATCTTTCAGTAATCTGCATATGAAATTGGTATACTAACTCTAGAAGAGCATACTAAGAATTGAGTGATGAATAAATTCTGGAATTCTATAAGCGACATTTTGATTTTGCTTAAGCTTTGTTTGTTTGTTCATGGGGAAGAGAAGAAGAAGAAGTCAAGCTTTGTCTTTTCTTTTTTAAAAGTAAATTTGATTACTTTCCTCTTCTGAATTACTGAATGCCTTTAATTTCCGTTATCTTAGAACAAGGCTCAGTCTTACAAGGTGGAGTGCAGATTGGAAAAGTGCTACTCTTCTGTATGAACAAGCTGGTATGTATGTTCTGTGCTACTGTAAGCCTTAATTACAATGGTTGATGGGGATTTCAGCTTAAAATCTGTTTTTGTTGTAGCTAATGGGTTTAGGATTGCCAAGGATTATGAGAAAGCAAAGGAAGCATTGGAAAAAGCATCAAAAGGACAAGAATTGATCTCTTCGTATCCTCATTCTCTTTTACTAGTATGTTCTGTCCTTCGGGCATTGTCTAATTTTGTCTGATGATCTCAATAACTGCACTCTTGCTATATCCTTTACAACCAACTCAGACCCTGGGATGCTGCAAAGCATATGGAGTCAGCTGCTGCTTTAGCAAAGGAGTTGGGCAAATGGAATGAAGTTGCTGATTTTTATAGAAGGGCATCTGAATTGTACGTTGTGTGTGGGAGATCACAACCTGCATCAGATGCTCTTGCGAAAGGGGCCCGGTAAGCACATCGTTCACCCTCTTGCTTTTTGCAGCTACGAATCTTTTTTTTTTCTTAATCTTAAAAGTTGCAATGTTTGGTGAAATTCTCTTGGCATTCACATAATCAAAATTCTTGTCAGTTCCCAGAGCTCCCATGAAAATACTTTCCTGTGCGGGTTAATAAATTCACCCGTATTTGCAGTAAGCAATAGAAAGTGTTTCATGTGAAGAATTTCATAAAATTCTACCCATAACCATCATCCCATTATTTTCAACAGCTCAATCTAAACGATGGTTTTTAATCTTCAAATGTTATGAAATATTCAAAAGTATTAATTTACCTGCAATTAATTGGATTGGTCATCCACTTGCACGGCTCTTGACTACCTTAGGTATTCTTATGGTTAACGTCATCCACTTGCACGGCTTTTGACTACCTTAGGTATTCTTATGGTTAACAGTTTAATAATTAGCTTTGTTGTCTTATTTCTCTCATAAAATAGTTTACAATTTTGTTTTATTAAACTACACACACATGTAGAGGACTTTACCTGAACTTTTCTTTGCTAGTAAAAGTTTTGATCCGTTGAGAGTTTCCAGTGTGAAATGCAACTGTTTCTCTTCTTTTCTTTTCCTCTTTCCATATGTTGTTTTTTTTAGTTGCTCGTTTAGTCTGTATATGCTTGAGGTGGGATTACAGCTTTAGAGAATATTTGAAATGCTAACCATTTGAAATGATAACCTTATTACAGAGCTCTGGAAGATTCTGTTCCTGATGAAGCTATTCAACTTTACACTGATGCTTGTGTTCTTCTTGAAGATGATGACAAGGATCAAATGGCCTTTGATCTATATCGTGCTGCCACTAGTGTTTATATAAAACTTGAGAAGTAAGTTCCCAAAATACATCCCATATGTTATTTAAATTATGGCAATTTAGCATTTTAGTTATTGGGAGGATGATGCAAATTATGATTATTATCATTTTAGTGGATTGAGAGGATGAAATACATTATTTAGGCAAACAGATCTGATCGTGTAGAATCCAGTTGTAGCTGTTTTCTGGCAGCATTTATAATCAGGCAAATAACTGTTATTCCTTATGGCTTAATTGAGGCTAAGGTTTTGGAAGACTGGTTTGAGGTTTAAAATCTATTAGAAAAGAGTAGTGATTTGCAGTTTGAAAATGGTCATTTTTTTTTCCCAGTAAATACTAAATTGTGTGCCTTTGAGCGGCTTTTCGCTGTATGTTTAATCATAACCTTTGAGCGGTTCTTACAGGTACACAGATGCTGCTGCTTTTCTGTTGAGATGGGGCTTAGCAGCTGATAAGTGCAATGCTACCAATAGCCAATGCAAGGTGTGAAAGGATTTCTTTTGGCACTAATCTTTTTGAACATTTTGGATGTATTTAATGAGATATATTATCCTGGACTAGTTTAGAGGTAATGGTATTTGATATGAAGACAACATTGAAATGGTTTCCTTGTTGAAGTGCCTGTGCTACATGAGGTACTAAGCATAAAAATTCACTCAATATTTTTTTCTCTTTTTGAGCAAGAGCATCTTCAAACAAAGAACTTTACAACTAGTAATATGTATTTTCTATCCTTTCCCCTTTCATTTCCTTGTGGCTGCATTAGATAAAGAGGCCTAGTTTTGGTTGCATCTGTAGTAATTAGCATTTCTCCTCTCATGAAAGCTTATAATTAGTTGTCTTGTATTCTTGTATCCTTGTTTTACAGAAACTCTCATCCTTGTGACCCTTTTACATATTCCCCGAGTCCAGAGTATTCTACTGTGAAAAGTAATTTTGTCACACTATTTCATTTTAGTATGCAAGTACATGTAAAACTTTCTTTGTTTGATTACTCTTGTAATGAATCTGTGCTTTTGTTTGTGTGCAACTAATCGTAAGTTCTTAACTAGCATCTGCATTTGGAAACATCTTTTGGTGTCCATCTTGCTTTTGTGTATTACTCACTCTTTTTAATCACTTTATGTTTCATGTTTAAGAGAAGTAATTTTACAACCATCGTTGATACAGGCATATCTTAGTGCAATAATTGTTTACCTCTATGTTCATGACATCAAGCAAGCAGAAAAATGCTACAACGATTGCTCCCAGTAAGTAAAACTATTGAATTCTTTTGATTTTCCAAATTTGGAGGGGGCTACTGCAACTCTGTCTATAACTCTAGAAATTTCAGAACATGGATCTCACGTAATATTGGCCTTTTGCTTTTGGTTCTGTATAGGGTTGACACCTTTTCTAGAAGTGATCAATGCCGTTTTGCTAGTAAACTTTTTTCTGCTTACACAGAAGGTGACGTTGAAGAAATTAAACGGCTTTCTCAGTCAAGCACGGTTAATAATCTTGATCACATGGTAATATATATTTTGTTTGCCTCCTTTGTTTATTTGAATTTGTATGTATGATTAAAAGATATAGGCATGTTGTCAGTTAAATCTGTCTTTTATATACAATGGAGCTTGGGCATGATTTTGCTTTTCTGATTATTGAATGCTTAAATAGAATTAAATCTTAAGACACTGAAATTATTATCTGGCTTTGTCTCATGAATTTAGCATGACATAACATATTGAAAAACTCAGGAGACAAGTTGACCCTGTTGCTTGATAAACACTAAAATATTGGACTGAAATATAAATATGTTGGATTTTTTTTATTCTGCCAATGGGTGCAGGTCATCAGGCTCGCCAGGAAACTGCCTACAGGTGATGTGAGTGCACTGAAGACCCGTGCTTCCGACGAGCAAGAAGAACCACTGGATGAAGATGACCTTACATAGATTGCCCCATATACCTTATAATGTGTTGATTTTGGTACATTAATATACAATGAAAGAGAGCTTGTTTTGTAAACATGTAAAAACAACACTCATCACTCTTTGGAACACTTTGTAATCCCAGTTTTTGATCTTTGCATTTCATGCTCCAAAATCTTTTGGATGATGAAAAACTGAACCAGAATCTTATAGGATCTTCCAATTGATCCAGAGATTGAATCCCTATGCCCCAAATATAGTTCAAATTATGATGAAAAAGGCAATTGCTTAGTATTGCTTTCTCTGCATCCAAAAAGGGGGCAGAAATCTCCTAGTTTTTGATAATGTTAGAATCATATAATACTCACTGGCCTTAAAAACACCATGCAAAAATGCTTTGTAGGGTATCCACGAATCAAAAATGCACAACCAAAAACTTTTCAATTAAGTTTTGAAAGCAATCAAATTCTCATATTAATGTTGATAATAAAGCAACGCATTGCAACAAAAGTTTCAAGCTTTTGCATTCGAGAAGCTCAATGACAGAAAATAACATGATGTTTGTATTAAGCAAAGGCGAAGAAAAAGTCTACCAAAACCCCAATTCTCAGACAATAAGCAAAAAACCCCCAAATCTAAACCCTAAAATCCTAGGCGGTGAGAACAACAGCGCCACCAGCTTCCTTAATCTTCTTCTCAGCGGTCTTAGAAATGAGCTTGGCCTTCACCACAACAGGCTGGCTCTGAGGCAACGCCCCCTTCCCCAACACCTTAAAGTACCCAAACTGCGTTACGTCGATCAACGGCACGTCGTTTCCTTTGTTCGCCGCTGCCTTGTCCTTCGCCTCCTGCGGCACCAAAGACCAGAGCTTGTCGACGTTGACGATGGGGCAGTAGAACTTGTTGCGGAGCTTGTGGAAGTAGCGCATGCCGACTTTACCAAAATACCCCGGGTGGTACTTGTCGAACAAGATCCGGTGGTGGTGCATGCCTCCGGCATTTCCACGACCGCCGGGATGCTTCCTGTGCTTCCCGATTCGGCCGTGGCCGGCGCTGACGTGGCCTCTCTTCTTCCGATTCTTCTTCAAACTGGTCGTCATTTTTGGCCTAGGGTTCTACTGTCTCGAATTTGGGGGCATTTATACGAAGACGATGAAGGTTTTGGGCTTGCGGCCCAATTATCTGGTTTACTGGGCTTGGGATTGATTACTGAAGCGGCCCAACCCAATCAATGAACATCCCCAAAATACCCTGGTCTTGATCATTTAATTACAAGCATTATCCTTCTGTCTTCCCCCAAAGGGATTTTGGCGCCAAAGTTCGTTACTTTCTTCACTACTCTAACAATATAACCAACCCATCAAACCCAGAAAGATTCTCAAAGTGCAAAACACAATAAACGAAGAAAACATTCTACCAAGATCTCAAAGCTTCTCTCTTTTTCTCCCATGGCGTCCAGCCACCATTCTTCTCTGCTCTTCATCTTTCTCACCACTCTCTTCACAGCCACCATTGCAGCCTCTCCCTCACCACCATCACCCCCACAACCCCCATCGCCATCACCATCATCATCGCCACCGCCATCGCCTCCATCATCATCACTGCCACCTCCTCCGCCGGCATCATCACCGCGACCTCCATCTCCGCCATCCCCAACCTCCACACCCCAACAACTCAACAACATAATCGACGCCCTAATCGGAGCCGGCGACTTCGGGAACTGGGTCAACATCATCACCGGCGCGAACCCACTGGTCCTTCCTCTGAGCGCGACCCTCTTCATCCCTCAAGACGACGCCTTGAACCGCATGCCGACCACCGACCCCTTCATGTTCCCTTACCACGTGGTCCCTCAGCGCCTCATCTTCTCCGAGCTCCAGCTCTTCAAGCCTAAGTCTCGCCTTCCCACTCTGCTCCCCGGCAAGTCCATTCTTATCACCAACGCCTCCCGCTCCAACTTCTCCCTCGACGGCGCTCCTCTCACCCAGCCCGACCTCTACGTCAGCGCCACCATGGCTGTCCACGGCGTCGGAGCCATTCTTGAGTACTCTGTTTACGGTGATGGGCTTAACCTTTTGCCCAAGCCCAATTCGCAGCAGGGGCAGCAGCAGCCGCTACTGCCGCCGCCGCCATCTCCAGGGGTGTTTTCCCCCGCGGGAGAAATCGTGGGCGGCGGGTGGAGGTCTGATGCAGCGCCGCCGTGCCATTGTGTTGAGTTTCCGGTTGGTTGGTTCTTGGTTGCTTGTGCGGTTTTGGGATTCAAGATTCAGAGGAACTACTAGGCTTGGTAGTTGAAGTTCGTCTCTGCTAATTCTCATTATCGGATGGGGTTCTCGCACATTTGGCAAATCATCTGGATGAGGATGATCTTGAATTCTTGATCAAGATTAATTGGGATTTAGGATTCTTTTGCGGCAACTACAGTTTGTTAATTGTGTGAGTTTTGTGTTGATGTTCATCAATTTCTTGTTCCAAAATTGTGCATTTTGCTGTAAGTCTGATCTCACCATGCAATGGTGTTCTTATTGTATTCTTTACTCATGAATGCAACTTAGCTATGTCCTCAATGATACATACATTGTTGTTGTTTCCTCTTTCAATTAAATCAAGTGCGATTTCATCCCTCTCTTTTCTTCAGAGAAAATTAGGATTATAATTGTGGATTTTTGTTTTTTCAGATCAGAAGGTTTTTTTTAAAAAAAAAAATAGAAAGAAAATCAGAGGGTTATGCAGTGAGAAATGTAGTTCTTTTTCAATGCTTCTATTGGCAACGCTTTTCAATCACCCTTCTTGTTTTTTTGAATGGGTTATCGCATTTGCTGCAAAACAAAACATAGGAAGAAAAAATGAGTTGCATGTTATCAGTTAATTCAAGCATTCAATTGAAAGATTTGAAACAGCACTTTCATTGTATACACTTATTTTTCAATGATTAATGAAATAAGATCAGAAAAATTAGCTGATTAAGACCAGATCCTATCACCAGTCAAAATTTCTGATGAACCGAAAGACTTTCCGTGACCGATTGAAGGCATTGACCTCACCAAATCAGAACTCTAGATTCAGTCACGAGTAGCCACATTACAAAATTTTGTGCCCAACTCAAGACCCAGAATCCCTCTCTTTCCTTGTTATGGATTTTTTTATAGCAAAGAATAGGCCTAAAGAATGACTAAATAGGAAAAGAAGCTACCTTGAATGAGAAAGAATGAGGGGACCTATTATTACTTTTCCTTAACTATCTACATTTCTCTGGATCTCTTCAATCAAGGATGTGAATGCCACTCTCCATTTTGAACTTTGTGACTCACTGCACAATACTCTCTGTAATGTCCTCAACTCTTCGGAATCTGCCTTCTTTAATAGTCTTCGCAACACTAACTGCATCTCTTCGGTTGGATGATCTCCTTCCACCGATGGATTATCCCGGTCCTGCCTTGTCAAAGTAATACCAAAAATTTTCGTATCTGTTTCTCCTAGACTTCTACTTGATTCAAACGAATGCTGCTTGATTTCACCAACATTGCCAAACGCCAATGGGACGATACGCTTGTAATTCCAGTACTCCACACATTGATGGTCGGGATCGAGGGCCTCAATAGCCTGGGAGGAATAAAATCCGAATTAGATACTGGATTGAATTTTTATTTTTGAGAATGGAGCACGAATTCTTTTTTGCTCATCATCAATCACACACCAAAACAGAAAGTATAGTTTTGTGCCAAGGCAATTAGTATGCCCAGTAAAAGCTCAGCATTTAGGTTTTTCCTATGCATTTATCACTGTCTATCTCATGATCATACAATACTTTTAAGTTGTATAATTTATTTTCTCAGGCGAACAAAAAAAATAATGACATAAACAGCATAGCTTTCTGCTTGCTACAGGGAGAGAAGAGAAAATAATAGAAGTTACTGTACCTCAACAATGGGTTGGGAGAGAAATCCAAACATTTCAAGGCCATTAATGCTAGGCTGCAAAAGGGGCAGTCCACTTTCCCCTAGACTACTCCGTCTCTTTATTTCTTGGTTTAGTCTCTGCAGTACCATATCCCAGCACTTCTCTGCCGATACATTAGCAAAAGCCTCACCGGGGCATTCTTCCAAAGTAACCTGAAATTCATGAAAGGAAACCATTGAAAAATGAACAAGCTAAATAAAATGCATGATTTTATAGAACCTTTCTTTAGAAGTATAATTGTATTTTATGCTCACTAGTTTAGTACAGTAATAAACTATGGAATTCAATGCAATTGCAAAGAAGAAATGGCTAAACATGTTGTGAAATAAAGAATAGTTTTAAAAAGAAAAGATGGTTTTACTGGACCCAAATCGTATAGAAATGATATGAAAAATATTCGAAGAAATAATAATCAGCTGTAGCTCTGAAATTTAGATTCCCCCAATCTTTGATTTTATTATATTTTGGAGGTTGAGAGAGACAAACCTTAAATAGAGGCCCAAGAAGCCCAGCAGCGAGAACTTCTGAAATATAGCTACAAACTTTTGTTGGGTCAAGCACACTATAAAATTTAACTCGGCTTCTATACCCTGCAAAAGGTAAATTAACCATTATGTAGAAAGAAAAAGTTAGAAGATTCCGCACAAGAAAGGAAAGGAGAGGAAAAAATTTAGAATCCAAGAAACCACCGCACTACAGCCAGTATACCTTTTGGATATATGGCCTGCTTACTGCACCACAACTTTCCAGACACAACAGCCCCAAAATCTATAGGCTCAACCGAAGGACTCAACTTCTGTAATTGATAGCTTTGGTCAGTCAAGGATATGTTTACACCTGAGTCCTCGACAATTTCAGTTTTTGAAAAGTTTATTGACTGTTTGTTTGAAGAAGGATGGGGTAAGCAAAGTTCAACACCGAACAGCTTATTGCCATCACTCGCACAACTATTCCTGATGTCCCTTGAACAGGCAGGGTAGCCATTATCAACTTTCATCATGTCTGGGTCTCTGGCTACATCTGAACTACAAACTTTCTCTTGATTAGACACGGATGTAGATGTATCCTCCTCAATTGTGACAGCCTTGTTATCAAAGTCATCAGATATGTGCATCGTCCTGCTTTCACGTTCATCAGACATATAATTAAGATTTAAATCAAAACAGCACTCATTCCCCATCTTTTCCTCGTCATTCATGGCCAGAGTTTCATCGTCATTTTGACCATCCATAGTGATGTGAGATGCACTTAAACTAAAAGCTCCATGCTGTGACCCTGACTGGACAACCGCAGAAGAAACTTGACTAGATGAACTGCAAGATGCATTTATGTTGACCTTCTCTTCTGAAACAGGGCAACAAGATGAAGTTTCCCTTGGATTACAAGACTTGACTCTCTTATGAGACATGCTACTTTCTTGATCCAACTTAGCAGTACGCCTATCAGTATCGTCTATAGAAACTACTACAGGGTCCTTGGATGCCCATACTTTCATGGCTTCTATTCTCCCTTCCAATGCTTCAACCAGCATATTTAATTCACTGATAGTGTGGCGTTGAAGGACATATTTATGACTGATGTCACATGAACAAAAATGCTTTGCATGTTTGAGACATGAAAATCGATCAGGAGAGCATTTGCAGCTGGCAGCAGATAAGTGTAAGTCATAGAAGCAAGAAAAACATTCTCTCTCGTTCAAATCAAAGTCTCTTTCCATCTTTTGCAACTATATATATATATATATATATATATATATATATATATATATATATATATATATATATATATATATATATATATATATATATATATATATATATATATATATATATATATATATATATATATATATATATATATATATATATATATATATATATATATATATATATATATATATATATATATATATATATATATATATAGAGAGAGAGAGAGAGAGAGAGAGAGATTTACCTTAACTGCTCTGGTGAGGACACCATCTTTGCCACAAACATTTTGCCAGCTCAAATTTCTTGTAGTTTTCTTTCCAAGAACCGATAGCTCCCAAAGAGCCTGTACAGCTTCCTGTGCTGATCCCAGTAACAATTTGTCGTGTGAGATTGATGTCTTGCGACACTGCTCACTGTATAGCTCAACTGCATTTTGCCCATGTTCTAACCAATCAACAGGGGCCACATTCACTGCCTCGGCACAATTAAAGCCACAATTAAATCCAGAATGGTATGCCCTCGGAAAGGTAAGAATAAACTCCCCAGAATGTTGGACAGCTCGATACACAGGTACACCTTCAGACTTTAAAACTGAAGGAGATAGCTGAGTGACCTGACCAAGGATGAAAGCTGTAATCTTAGTGTCTGAGATACTCACAAAAAATTTAAAAGCAAAGTTGAAACAAAGGATGTCAGAGGCCCAGTGATGTGGGCAGACATGTGCAGGGAAGTGATCGAAATTGATTAATGATATCACCAGGATAAAGACAGAACAAAAATAGGGAAGGAAACCGTTGGTCAGTACCTGTACATTCACAGATAGGTTTGACTCTTGCACCTATATACCAATTAGTGTGCTACAACCTGTTGGCCAAACAAATATATTCGCAGATTTCCTTATGACACTTCTTCTACTGCTTAGAAAGGACTTCACGTTCGTTTATTCTAATGCCTTAGCTAATTTTCTATGAAGCACGAATATGCCAGGTTAACTCCGTATCCTGTATCGGATACGATATGCATACGATACGCTCCGATAGGCGTCGGATACATATCGGAGTCAACGGATACGTGTATCCGGCATGCCGGACACGGGTATCCGGCTTTTCAGATAAGTGGGAGTAGGAATCTGGAGAATAACCTGTGTGTTTACAGTTGACTTGTACATAAAGTATATAGAGAAACTCTCATTGGTTGTAGGATGAAGGAGATTTGATCCTGATTGAGTCGTAATTGCTGGAGGATTTGCGTGGATTTGATCCTTAAGTGAAATGAATGTTATTTAAAATATTTTTTTAATTATATATATTTTTATTGCTAAATATTAAATTATTAATATATATTTTTAATTCTTGTATCCATGATGTATCGTATCCTAGTTTTAAGAGATTTTCCGTATCACCGTGTCGTTTTGTGTCGTATTGCCGTGTCCGTATCCGTATCCAAGCTACATAGCTAATTTTAACAACCATTTCTTACCAAAAGTTAAATTGAAAACCAGAGTGAACCCCGAAAAATATAACAATGTAAAAAATTTATTTCATCACTTGGTGTGTGATAAAAATAAAAAATAAAAAACAATCACAATAAATTATTGCATAGGTTGACGAAAAAGTTTGTGGATAGAATCTTTCTTCTTACCAGTTCATTGAGTAAATCTGGTTGTTCCTCGAATAAATCTGGCAAATGCTTTCTCATTGCACGTTCCAAAGATTGAGCACGGCTTCCAGACACTCCATACCAAACTTTTGGGTCACCCCAGTGCAGATAATTTAGGGAATAGAGGTGGTGGTCCTCAACATGCTGTTACAAACCAGAAAAAAAAAGACCAATTAAGCATAACAGTAAGCCCAAAGATAATGCTTTCTTTTTGTCTAATATGCAAGCAATGAAAAAAATTGGAGGGTCGTGTTTTGACCATGGTGATGGCATGACATACCCAACAAAATGAAGAAAAGCACATCCCAACATAGAGCCATGGGACTAGAACTCCTGAGATGTCGCTTGCTTCAAAAGACAATACAGAACCAGGAAGGCGTGGGAAATTATTTAGATTCCAACCAGACATTGCATACTGATCCAAATCATTTTCGGTTACCATAGACGATGCCTTAGGAAACCCACTTCCAAATACTCCCGTTTCCAAGTCAGCTCCATAGTAAACCTGAAATATGAAAGAAAAAGGCATCCACCATTTATAAAGATAAGAGTGCATTCCATAATCATAAAGTCAGTTAAAGGCACTGAAAAACCATAGTTACATACCTCAACCTCGTCTGTTGGTTGCTCAACTATTCGCCAGTATTCACCTTCAATGTCTTCCACAGAGGGTTTCCATATTTTGCTTCTAGTTTCACCAGAATTTGAAGCCTCCTTAGCATCCTTTGATCTGAAGTAACTCTCCTTGAAAGTATAGGCATATCTCTGAAACTCTTCAAATGTAAAGTCTGATCCTGAATGGAACCCAAACTTCTCATCAGTCTCGGAAGCAACATTAGCTTCTGATCGTCTTTTGGTTCCCATTCTTGAGTGCCTCCTTCGTTTTCGCTTCCGACCTCTACTTTTCTTTTTCATGGCTTCTCTGTTTTGAAGCAAGTCAACTTGCTGAATACGTGTGGAAAATTTAGCATGCTCCCACATCTCTTTATCCTTAAGAGGGCAGGGAGGGGTCCAGGAAGGTGGCGGGACAATCCGACATATACCATAAGATTCAGCCACTAGGCGTATCTTTGCTATGTAACCAAGTGTATCTTCAAACTCCTAATAAATGAGGGCAACACATGAAATTGAATAAATAAATACAAAGAGTCCATTTATTTAAAAAAATCCTACTATCCACAATAGAAAAATGAATGAATACCTCAATAGTTGGATAAAATACAGGTGCTTCATCAATGGCAGGCCTGCATGGTTCATCCGGATCCCATCTAGCTGATATCTGTAACACAAAGGACCATATGTTCCATTTAAGCAAATGAATCCATTTCTTACAAAAGCAATTCAAATGAGTGAACAAAGAAAATTAATATCCTAATTTGATGTTGGTCATTCTTAACACTCAAAATGCGGAAAATCTAGGATTTGATGACACAAATGTTTCTTCCAATTTTATTTTCCAACCAGAGGGAAAATTTTATTTATGTATGCATATAGGGTCCACGGTATGAAGTGGTGTATTCCTTTTTAAGTTGATAAAACAAATTGGATGTACTTATTCATAAAGCTTAGAAAAGACTACCTTAACTGACTTTTAGTGAGTTATTCATAGTCCATCAATTACCCAACATAACAACTAATAATAAAAACGTTTGGTACCTTTCGACTTCGAGGACTGCCTGAGCACTCATGTGCGTCATCACTTCTCTGGTTGCTCTTAAAAGAATGATCCTGCAAAGCATTGTCCGTAAGAATAAAAATACTTGAAGGCTTAAATTTAAATTCCTTAAAAGACCAAGGCATTCAGGTAAGAAAAATAACATTGTAATATGAATGATCCTTCAAGAGTCAAAATATCTATTTAAAATCTTTTCTACTCTAAATTTCTCTACCTAGAGTAGCATTCTCTAAGTTTCAAACTGATGCAACTTCCCATCATGCAGAAACCAAAGGGGTGGAAGCGGCATATTACGCAGAAGGCAAGGTTATAACAGAAGGTTGATTGACAACGTTCACAAAGGAATTGATGATAGACAAAAGTTGGAAGAAAAAGAAAAAACAGAGTATGTATAGCTAAACATATATTCTTTTACAATAGATAAGAAACGGATAACACAGATCTGCAATTTCTAGAGAGTCAATAAAACATATGGTTTAGAAAATATGAACAAAAACTATAAAATCTTTTCTTTTTGGCCTGAGATTAATAGTCACCACCACAGATATATGACATAATGGAACAAATACAGCAGAAGGGATTAGAAATCCAACCTCTTTTTGCTGAGCTTCTGCCGCTAATTTCAACTGTTCCATTGACTGAAATTGTTGTGAAAGCCTGTCTAACCAACGATATCTGCAAAAGAAAACCCTTTTACTAACCTATCAAAATCAATACAAAGCCAATCACCACAAGCAATTTTCCCACTTCTGCATAACCAAACAAACTTAACCAAAGAATGCAAATTATGTATACCTAATTCACCAAAGCAGCAAAGGCATTCCCCAGAAACATTTTCTTTCTACTTTCTGATCAAACCAAACCCAATTGCACTCAACCAAAAACGAAAACCCAATTGCATGTATCTAACCAGGCCCAAATTCTTAAAATTTTGGTAAATTATTTTCCACACGCTAAAAAATTCAACCCCATTCAGTTTTGTTTTCTATTAAAGCCAAAGAATTGACTTGGTAAACAGAAAAAAAAATTGGAAATTCAATCAAAGTGAAAAAGAATTGCATAGTCTAACAACAATGAGGATGAAAGCAGACAAAACCCAAGACATAGTTTTGCAGGAATTAAATAATGAATATTAAAATATGGCAAAAAGTGGATTGAAAATTCAGAAGGGTACCTTAAGAACACGCCTAAGATTCCAGATAGGGTGATGACTTGATGTGTAGGCAAAAGGTGAACTTAAATATATGCAACCCTCTCCTCTCCTCTCCTCTAAATACTAATATTCACAATAAAATCTTGGTATTTTAGATATTTATTTGGCCTATTTATTATGGGTAATAACAATAGGAAGAAATATATATATGAGAGAACAAGGAAATGAGGTGGAATTAAGTTTCCCTGCTTGAACGAGGAAATTGGATCTAATGCTACTAGGAAAAGGAAAAGGAAAAGAACTTGGAAAATTCTTATTTTTCTTATGTAATTTATGAAATAAATATTTAGAAGGAGAGGAAGAGAGAGAGGGTCAACCCGCTCAAACGCACGCAGTTTTAACGGAAATCGGTGAGTCCAACACTCCATAGCACAACCAACCGCACAATAACTTGTTTGTAAGTTATACAAGCTAAGTGGGCCCATCTCACAATTCTCTTCTCTTTGGCTTCTTTTTAAGTTTTTTTATAATTTTTAAGTACGTCTTTGAAAAAATCATGAGAATTAGTCTCTTGACACGCGCTTCATGTAAGACAATGATTTTTTTGTTTTTTCGTATCTTGTTTACACTTCATATAATCTCTCATATAAAACATCTTAACATTTGTAATTTTGTTTACGAAAATACAATTGTACGTAATATTTGTGACATAAGTCTCTCGGTCGCTCATAAAAATAAGAGACCCTAGTTCTTGTTTTTGTAAAAATTTTAGGATGAAAGATTGGATTTATGAAAGTTTTGGCATTCTTATATAAGTGAGACGTAGAAAGAAAAAATGAGGGCTAAGATGTATGAATTTTATGATAGAATCAGGATGCTCTTTTTGTACATTTGTGTCAGTTCTTCTTTTTTATCTTTTTCTTTTTTGGTCAAACGATCAGGATGCTCTGTGTTCAATACAAAGACACAAATTCACATATTTGGGTCCAAAAATGGTGGCCCAAATTCTCTCCAGTGCACATTTTTGGGTTTTGAGTCTAAATCCCCCTTGGAGATGGTTGGGTCGAAACTTAAATTTGGGTTTAGCACACTCTCTCATCTTTTTCTTCTAGGCCCACAATTTGAGTTTTGACTTGAAAACAAACTCGAATCCGAGACCGACTGTTTAGGTCAGTTGTGATGTTTTGCAATCGTTGTATCATTTTTATCCTTCTTTCACATCATGAAAAAGTGTGAATTTACCATATTATCATTATTTAATTAATAATTTTAATTCTTAATGTTTGCATTAACTAAGGGCATTTTATGGTATTTTGAATGTTTCACCATTCTCTGGATTTTGCTTTATATATATAGATAAACGGTAAACAATTGCACTAATTAAGATATGTCTAATTCAGCAATTCTTGATTTACATGGTTACAAAACAAGCTCACTTTCTCTTTTTTCTTTTTCTTTTTTGAAAAAAAAAACACAAGCTCTCTTTCATTCAATAAAATGCAAAAACATCACATTCTAAAGACGAAATGTTTTTCACGTATATTAATGTACCAAAATCAACACATTATATAAGGTATAGATAACTTAGTATCCTGACTAAATCGAAAATACACCTCTCACACTTGATGTTTGTATTCACAAGCCTATGACCAAACTAGTTATACTGAATGTAGCTTAAGCTCATTGATTCCAATTTTGACCATGAACCATACTTAAATATGAATTGATCAATGACAACATGAAATAAAACTAACATAAGTAATATATAACTCACGAAATCAACAAGCTAATAAGAGTTATAATTGTCACTAGTATGGTATGGCCTATTTTCAGTGAATAAAAATTGTGCCATGTGACACATTCTCAACAAATCAACCACATTCATATCCTGTTTGATCTTATTCAAACTTCGTCCAGTGGCTTTCACACTACAATTGGTGGGTAGCCCTCTCCATTGGAAGTTATGCACATACTCTAATGGTAGCTTACATTGCAGCCATCGAGAAAATTTTCCAATTTTTTTAATTTCCTTCAATATTTTATATGTGTTTTTGTGTGTCTGTGTTTATGTCTAGAGACTGACAAAGTCACATTAATTTTATGAGATATTTAGTCATATACTCATTCCTAACACTAATAATATAGATAAACCCTATACCATTTAATTTTGATAAACAAACCCAAAAAATGATAGTTGGTCATATTGAATTTAATTTTGATTATTAAATTACTTTAATGCCCTATTGAGTGTTTTGGGCCTTTTTATGAGGTTTGGGGTTAGGTTTATTTTAAGAAATCAATAGCAGTTTTGTAATTTAAAAGAAGTTAAAAGTCTTTTTGTTATGTTGTACATGGGCTTTGGATTTGTTTCTAAAGTCTATTTCATATATGGTTTTTTTATAATTTGGACTCCCATATTTGATAAAATGGTGAATCTCCCTAATTTTATTTTAACGATCATGCAAAACTACAAGTTTTGATTTTTAGTTATTTATTTATTCAATCATATTGGGAGGTATGAATCAAACAACATTTACCTAAATAATGAATCAAATATCTTGTGACTAAAAACGCATGACCACACTACAATCTGTCACATTTTCTTTGCTTGTAATTCTTTAATTCAATATAACTAAATTTCTGTAACAGAAAAAGAAAAAATTGCTTTGCTTGTTATTCTTTGATTCAATTTAACTAATTTTCTGTAACAGAAAAATAAAAAATAAAAAACTAAACTTCTATTATTCTATTTATTACATAAAAATAAGTTGAGTGAAATGTCTATTCGGCTCTGATTGAGTTTTATGAAAATGTTGAATTATGGCCCAATTGTTCGTTGATTTGGACTACACGAGAACTCTTAGCCATTGAAGAAGCCACCCAACAAGGCCCAATTATGTACATCTAATGAGTTGTTTATTAGAGCATCTACAATCATGCTCTCTATTTTTTAATTAAAATTTAGTTAAAAACGTATAAAAGCTATTTTAGGAGCTCTCTCTAAAAATTTAACTCCAATCATACTCTCTAGTTTAGGGAGTAACTCTTTTTTAATTGGTTCATCTCTATTAAAAAATAATATAAAAAATCGTTAGTATTAATTAAAGATTTAAAATATTTATAAAATAAAGGAGCATTAAATTATAAGGACCTTTTTCTCTTCTCAGATTTAGAAGCTCCTAGAAGTCTCCCTATTTTAGGAGGTGGGTATGGAGCATGGTTGAAGTTGTATTTTTCCAATTTCTCTCTAAAATTTGTCTAAGCAAGTGGTTTATGGAGCCCATTATGGATGATCTTAGGATTTTTCCCCTTTTTAGTTGGAGTTGTTTATTAGGTTCAACCAAAAAAACCCAACATGTTTGTGAAAATGATGAGGGTTAGGTGTATGGTACAGAGGGAAATGACATTTTTATGTAGTCATTTTTATTTTTTTTTATGTGTCTGGTATGGAGAGAAATGACATTTTTACCGTTGTATAAAGTCAAATCCATGTGTTGTGTGAAGAAATTAACCAAAATTTACAAATGGCTGCCCTGGGATTGAAACAGTTTGTAAATTATAGAGAATAAATTCAATGCAATTAAAACTACTTAATAAAAGAAATTGGCTTTAAAAAAAAACCTTCAATCCTAGTAGTATATGTGACAAATCCCCCATCTTGTAATTTACGCTATCGGTTGTATTTGTATTAAAAACTTCATCTATCTATTAGATTAGGCTATGTTCCATCCCATTGCGCATCTAGTTTTGTTAAATAAATAAAATCGTCAGGCACACGTACGAATATTTATGGTACAAAATAAAACAAATAAAAAAAATCGCCGGATGGTTTTATTTTAGCCATAGTCGGCTCTGGTGTTCGAGTTTTCGGATCCTATTTCACACTCGAGAGGATAAGCAAGAAAGAAACGAGCTGTCGAGTTTAAAAATTAAAAAAGTAAGGTTGTCCGTTGAAAATGATATCGATATCTCCCATATTCCCAACCCATTACAACACAATCTCATAAAAAGAAAGGAATTTCAACAACAACGACCAAAACCTTTTTTCTTCGACGCTTCCTTATCATTTTCCTCAAAAACCAGACAACCCCGTTTCTTGCTCTGAGACCCAATTCCTCGTTTTCGATCTAATTCCGAAAAAAACCCCCCAAAAGTTGTGATTTTTGGTCCTTTGCACGGCCTTCGCTTCTGTTCTCAGGGGGCCTTCAGGTATTCATTTCTATGAATTTTCTTTCCTGTTCGCTGCATAATCTATATGTCGTTGACTTAGTCTGATTGAAGCTCTTGGTTGGAGACAGCAATCCGATTGCGTCGAATACAGCTCCAGTTGCGCAAGGGGTCGTGAAGTTTGAATTTTTTGAACAAAATCAGGTATTGTAGGAAAATAATTTAATTTAACCTCTTTCATGAAAAAGATTGTTAATTTGAATTTGGTTTGTTAATGTAATTGTTGCTGCCTGATTGCTTGTAATGGTTGTTAGGGATTTGCTGCATATTTTGCGTGTTTTCAATGTATCATTATGGTTGTAGTTCCTCAATGTTTTGTATTGGGACTCGGTATTAGGTTTTGAGGTTTTACCTGCCAGAACTTATTCAGGTTTTAATCTTCTTATATAGAACGGCCTTGTTCATCGATGTTTGCGTTTGTTTGGCCGAAGACTTGACATGCTTCTGCTTCAGTTAATGCCTATATTCTAGGAGGCTGATTGTGTCTGAAACATAGAAAATATCTGTTTGAGTTTAGATGGGAACCCAATTTACCAGATGGATAATGAAACAGCCCCATCAACATTTCTTGGCTGTCCGGTTGAAAACAACCTCATCCCAGTATGTAGCATCAAGAGCCAGAGATCCCACGTTTGAGAAACTAATGGATAAGTACAAGAACCTTCTCAAAGTCATTGCTGTCCAAGATCTCATCCTAGCAAACCCCATCAACCCTGCATTATCCCTTGATTTTCTCTCCAGGCTCTCTCAAAAGCTCCATCTCAACCGTGGTGCAGTCTCCTTCCTCCGCAAATACCCTCACATTTTCCACATTTACCATGATCCCATGAAGTCCCAGACCTTCTGCAGATTAACTGACGCTGCTATTCAAATTTCTAAAGAAGAAGCAGAGGTCATCAATGCCTCGTTGCCGCTTGTTGTTGATCGATTGGTTCGACTTCTATCAATGTCTCGTTCCAGGATGTTGCCACTCCGTGCCGTTTTGAAAGTTGGCAGGGAACTTGGGCTTCCTGATGATTTTGAGGATTCTGTAATATCCAGAAACTCCCATCTTTTTCAACTTTGTGATGCTCATGAGCCCAATACTCACAACTTGAAACTGTTTGATGTAATTCCTGACAAGTTTACTGCAGCGGTTGAGAACTGGAGGGTAGAGGAATATTGCAAGGAGGGTTGCAATGTTGATAGGGCTGAAATTCAGTTTAGTTTTAAACATGGGTATCCTCCAGGGATGAGGTTAAGAAAGAATTTTAGGGCCAAGGTTAAGGAATGGCAGAGGTTGCCATATGTGGGACCATATGATGAGGTGTCTGAGAAGAAGAGGTCATCAAAGGCAGGAATGATGGCTGTGGAGAAACGGGCAGTTGCAACTGTTCATGAATTCTTGAATTTGACAGTAGAGAAGATGGTTGAAGTGGAAAAAATCAGCCATTTCAGGAAATGGTTTGGCTTTGATTTGAATATAAGGGATTTGTTCTTGGATCACCCCGGGATATTTTATTTGTCGACCAAGGGAAAGAGACACACTGTTTTTCTGAGAGAAGCTTATGAGAGGGGGTGTTTGATTCACCCAAATCCGGTTTATCATGCAAGGAGAAAGCTTCTGGATCTTGTAGTTTTGGGACGTCATGGCTTGTTAACTGATGAGCTGAGGTCCATTGCTAGTAACAAGGAGGCTGAGTCACTGGGACAGTACGATGGAGAAACCTGTATCTCTGATTAATTAGTACATTTTTCCCTTCCTGTGAACCTGATAAAGTTTAAGACTTTACTTGTCAGAACTTATTCAGTTTTGATCTTCTTATAGTGTGACCGTTAATGTCGATGATTCACTTTTATTTGGATATGATTCTTGGTGTTTCTCTTTTATGCTTCGTGTTTATCTGTTTTCACCTTTAATTAAATTTTACCTTAACTTACAGAATTTGTTTTTCAAAAAACTATGATGCACTTACCCTTCAAACCTATAAATCAATGCTTGTCGGAGGCGGTGAGTGTTTTAGCTTATTTCTAAAGATGGGATGATATGCACCTATCACCTATTGGTGTTGGCTTTGTACTTTTAAATTTTAATGTATGTAGTCTTCTTTAATTTCATAATGAAGCACAATATATGACGTGCTTCAAGAAATACGTTAAATCAGGAAATTCTGGAAGCGGTATATTGTAGTCCAGAAACACAAAGTATTTTCTCCTTGATATATCTACCCACCTCTGGTTAGGCTTGTTTGACTTAATAGCTTTTTCTCTTTATACCTATATCTTGTTCCCATGAAGATACAATGGCTTACTTCAGTCCCAAGGCCTGACTTTTTAAAGTAATTGTCTTGCATTGAGGAAGGGGGCCTTATTCTGTGTATAGAGGTTCATGCCCTTTCCACCAGCACAAGTGTTAGCATATCTGTGAGTGTTGATATTGTGAATGTTAGGATTTGCGAAGACATGAGGATATCAAGTTTGGTTGGATTGTGGGAAGACTTAAAGGAGCCAGAGTTTCATGAAGAAAGTTAGTTTGGGCTCGTAGTAGTATTGACTTGTGTTTAGAAAATAAGGTCTAGTGTTTCATAAAGAAAGTTAGTTTAGTCTTGTGAGTTTCATGAAGACAGTCAGTTTAGTCTTGTTGCTGTGATTTTCTTTATTAATACGTATTTTATTTTTGGAAGTAAAGAATACGTCTTTTGGATAAGCTTAGGAATTTTTGCATAAGCTTTGATACGTCTTTTGCTTTTGTTATTTTATTCTATTTGGGAATAAATATTTTCAAGTATTCAGGTTCTTTTTTTCCAAAGTTCATTTCAGTTCGTCAGAATTTCTAATGGACTGCAATCTGTCATTGTCTAGCATATTGGCCATTTAAGTTGTGGAGTGCTATAGTTTTCTCTATTGATGTCTGATTCTGTTGGTAAAGCCTCATTTTGTATGTGTGTTTCTAAACGTTGCAGGTATGCAGAGCCAGCTTGTGTGTAGTGGGTGTAGGAGCATTCTTCTATATCCTAGAGGAGCTACTAATGTTTGCTGTGCATTATGCAATATAATTACCCCAGTCCCTCCTCCTGGTAATATCTCTTTTCCTTATCCTTTTTCTTAGTGGGTACTGGTTAAGTGAATGCTTTCTTGTTCATGTTCATTATTCATGAAATTTGTTACATTAAAACGAATTGGCTTGTGAATGGTGTCAATCACATGGTTTTTGTATCCAAGGTAAACCAAAATGGAGAATAAACATGATCATTTTGTTTTTGTTTTTGTTTTTGTTTTTTTTTTACATAGTAACTTTGATCAGTGGGGTTGTTAAAGTGTTGATGCATGGCCAAACCAGATGCAGCTTGAAGATAGAAATTATGTGGAAATAATGTAGAAGTTGAAGAGAAAGTTATCAGGATTCCTAGTTAGAAGATGAAGGGTTGAAATAAGAATTAAACGGGTGAAGGAGAGAAGACTTTAAGATAAGAATCAGTCTCATCAATTCGCCCTCAGGCAGCTGGTGCTCAGTTGTGGAGTATCCTGAGGGCAATCTTGTTGAGTTGCTGTTATCATTTGAAGTGCTTTGTTTCAATGGTCATTCTGTGTGGTGGGTACCTAACATGTGGGCAATTTTTTTACTGGAATTGTCAGAGGGCTAGTAAACTTATGCATCCAAGTAATAGTTCTTTGCTTATAAAATCAATATAAAAAACACTGTGTAAACATGAAAGCTCAAGATCAACTTTAATCTGGATTAGGAGTTGCATTTGTCCTGGTAGTAGCTTAACTGGTACATGCCACTTTTCATGCATAGTGCATCCAGCATTGTGGCTAATTTTTGCCTTCAGCATTTGTCAAGATTTGATGTTCTATGTACGTTAAACAGTGTAAATTCTACAATGGTTGATATGTGGATAACTGCTATGAATAGGGAATCGTCATATCATTGAAAACTCTTACTGAACTGGGATTTATTTTGAACATTTTATATTAAAGGAAGCTACCATGCATGGTGGTTTTCGGAGTGGATGTTGTAAACAATACAAATTAATTGTGAGAGCACCCTCCATTGGCTGTCAGTATACATGTCGGGGCAAAGATAATTGTGCTGTGTGTTATCACCATTAGACTCTTATTTAACCTAAGAAGTATTTATTTGGAAAGTCATAAGGTTTGGTTACAAAAAATTTGTGCAATGACCTTGCAGGTACAGAAATGGCTCAACTTATTTGTGGGGGTTGTAGGACGTTGTTAATGCATACACGTGGGGCAACAAGTGTGAGGTGCTCCTGCTGTCATACTGTGAATCTTGCTCCAGGTACTATATAAGCTCTCTTGCATATAATATGAAGTTTTAGTTGTTAAGTCAGGGCGTTGTGATCCCCCCTCCCCCTCGAGTCACAAAATGAAAAAGGGAAAGGAAAAAAAAAACGTAAATTGTTCACTCTTGTAATCTGCAACATAGTAGAAGGTGATCATGCAACCTTAATGTTTTCCATAGTAAACAATCTTAGGGTACTGGCATTCACATGATAGATACTGCACAGGAGTTAAGCATTGTGTCTGTGCATGCCCATGCATGTGTGATTGTCAATCCGTTTCTGCAATGTTGTATACTTCCGTTTGGAAGGTTCTGGATTATATCATGCTCACTTTTAGAAACTTTACAGTTTAACATAATGGATAGAGAAAAATTCGAAGATCGTAATTTTGAAGAAAGGAAGTCCCACCTACCTTCTGAGTACATACTAGTCATTTGTGAAGTATAATTGGTTTCATATAAACTTTTTTATTAAATGAAAGATCATGAGGGAGAATTCCCTTTCTACAGCATTGCTGTTAATTTTGCTTTCATGTTTCGTTTAGAAGCACACTTGGCAGCAACTTTTTTTGTCAACAACAGAGCTTGAGATTTCTGTTGTTTTGTAAACCAATTACTGAACTTGTCTTTGGTTTTATTCAGTAAGATCTTAGAAAATTGATAGTAATTAGAATATTTTATGATTGCAAATGTAGAGCTTTAAGTTTCTTCTACGTTGGATTACTGTTTTACTTCATCGAACTGTTATTGACTTCTCCTCTCCTGTGGGTTTTATTATTGTGAAAAAGCATCCAGTCAGGTTGCCCACGTCAACTGTGGAAACTGCCGGACAACACTTATGTATCCATATGGAGCTCCTTCTGTCAAATGTGCAGTCTGTCACTATGTAACTAATGTTGGTGTAAGTATAGATGAGTTTTTTTAAACTTTTGGCATATCACTGTTACTCAATGATTTATGTCAATATAACTTATGGGTGCAATATAACTGATTTTAATAGACATTGTGTGTGTGTGTCTATCTCTCTCTTGATCTCTCTCTGGATTTTTGAACATTTTACAGATGACCAATATGAGGGTTCCAATTCCAGTGCACAGACCTAATGGGACAGCCAATTCAGGAATGGCGCCCTCTACTTCCGCGGTAAGTTCTTAAAAGCATACCATTTATATTTCCCAGATGAGACCACGTTTGTGGTAGTGACATTTGATGCTTGGTGAATCTGTTGAATATCTCTCTTGTTATTTTCTCCAGGCAATGCCCCATTCTCAGAGCCAGACCGTTGTGGTTGAGAACCCTATGTCCGTTGATGAAAGTGGCAAATTGGTAAGTTTGTTCAATTATGGATCCTTTCACATGCCTTTGTTTTCCCTGTAAATTTCTCTCTTTTTCTCTTATTGACCAAACAAACATCTGCTGATGATAAAACTCTTAATCTCACAGGTGACCAATGTCGTTGTTGGTGTCACAACCGGGAAAAAATAGTACAGCGGGATTCTGCAATTGATTGCAGCTAGTTTTATTTCGCAGGGAGCGAATCAAATCCTTATTACACATTACTTGGAAGATAGACATCAAAATTGGTGTATATTTTATTGGAGTTGTTCATAAACACTTGTGCGAGAAACGATTTCAAATATGAGGCGTCAGATAAATGTATCATGTACTATTAAAGAGACTTGGAGAGGACATTCCTATATCATTCTTGTAATTGCTCTATCACCCGCGTGTTCAAGTTGAGTCGAGTGACTGCACATAAAGTATATATGTTTTCAAAATCCAATTATCAAACATTTGTTTTGTATTTAAACAATTTATTTTGTTTAATTGTTGTTGTTTATAGTGCTTGGACAATCTCTTCAATTTGATTTTAAACCTAGTCGGTTGATCGGCAGTAAATTGAGTTCGCATGGTGGTCGGTTGCTCATGAGCTGACCTATATATATTTTTGCTAACTACAAAATTACTAGGGTAAATTACTCAAATGGTCCCTAAATTTGTACGCGATTTACATTTTGGGGCCTCAATTAAATTTTTCGTTCAAATGGTCCATGAATTTTATATTAATCGCTCAATTGGTCAACCGTTACATTCTGTCAATGTTGCTGTTAAATATTAGGGCAAATTGGTCATTTCGTACATTAAAAATAAATAAATATTGAAAAATGAAATAAAAACTCTCTCTCTCTCTCTCTCTCTCCCTCCGTTCCACCATGGCCACCACCCTCAAGCTCCAACCCCCAAACCCATCCAACAACCACCGTTCTCTCCACCCAAACCCATCCAACAACCATTGTTCACCCTAGGCCCCATGAACCCAGAACCCCAGCTCCTCCCCACCCTCCACCCGAGCCAGCAACTACAAAAAAAGAACCCACAAAACCCAGAAAAACGAATTAAACCAGAAAACCCAAAAAAAACGAATTAATCAAACCCAGAAAAACAAAATAATGAAAGAAATAAATTAATGAAACCCATAAAAGAAAAAAAAATCCAGCTTGGGTTTGATTTCGAGGAGTTGAAGAAGAATGCCTAATGGGGTTTGAAAAAGGAATGCACAGCTTTGATCTCTTTCTCCATTTTTCCCCAATCCAACTTTGACCCCACTCTCCCTTTCTCCCTTCCTTAACCCACCCTCCACCCTCTGTCCCGTCAGCCTCCAGCCATTGCCTCCCAAACAATCGCGCCTCACCTCAAGATCTCCTCGGCTCAACCCCATAAAACAAATGCTAGATCGCTCCTCACCTCTGTGCGACTTCTCGGAGGCGAAATAGTGAATTAAGAGCTGTGTATGTCGAAATTGCTGCAAGGATTTTGGGGATTTATGCCTATATGGAGAGGTCTGTGGGGAATGGGGGAGAAGAAATCGAAGGGGGGGGTTCTCTTTTTCTTCCTTTTTTTTTTCTTCTAATTTTGTATTTATTTTAACCCTATTTTATTTGTTAATTATGAAAAGTCGTATTTACCCTAAAATTTGGTTAAATCTAACAGAAAATTAGACGGTAGGACCATTGGAGCGATAAATATAGAGTTTATGGACCATTTGAACGAAAAATTTAATTGAGGCCCCAAAATGTAAATCGCGTATAAGTTTGGGGACCATTTGAGTAATTTACCCAAACTACTAAACTGGAGCTTTGACGGACGCTTTGATCTTGCATTGATTAAAGTATTAATTCTCAAGTAGTAGTAACAATTTATAAACTATAACGATAAAAACAGTAAGGGTGGTGTTAAATGAACTCTAAAATTAATTGAGTATGGTGTACTTATTAAAATTACATTTGTTTCACAATTTAATATATATTTTTGGTTATTTTATATTAAAGTAATAAATTAATAATTCAATAAATAGTTTAGTAATATAATGTACTTTGTAGGGTTTAACAACACCCTAACAATAATAATTGAAGGAAATAGGAGCTCAAAGTGAAGATTGTCAAAATTGCTGATGTCCATGCGCAGGAACAAGATTAAACTAAGGTTGGTAAATTTGTTTGCCCAATGGATCTGCAGTTTAGCATGATCTCACAAGTAGAGGGGCCTTTGCTTCTTATTGTAGTTTAGACCATAAGCATCTTCCTCACACAATCACATATGTTACCAAAAGGCATTTGGGGTTAAAAAGTTTTCCAAACTGATGGCCCAAAAAATAAGTTTCCAAACTACCTACACCAACATACCAAAAGTTAGTGGATAGTTAGACAACTCAAAGAAACTAGATATATGCTTCACTTGGCTTCTTAGACTTAACCACTGATTTTGTTGGTCTATCCACCTTCCTCTAAATGCTATAAGAAGCCCCTCTATCTAGCAGCAACAAAATATTCACTTCTCTCTGCCACTCATTCAACCATGGCTATAGAAAATGGAGAGAAACCAGAGGATGCGTTGGCTTTAGTGGCGGTGACAAAGCCGACGGATTGGACCATTGTCATACTGAGGGTGGTTGCATTTTTGGCCACAGTGTCTGCAACTGTTGTAATGGCACTCAACAAAGAGACCAAGTCCTTGGTGGTTGCCACCATTGGGACAACCCCAGTTAGAGCCACCCTCACAGCCAAGTTTCAACACAATCCAGCAAATGTGTAAGCCTCAGCAGTACTCTCTCATTTTCTTTCTCCTCCTCATGAATTATAACTATGTTGGTCATTGTTTATGAGAGAGTTTGTATTTTATCTGACCAAAAGCAAACCGAAATGATTCGATGATACAGGTTCTTTGTGATAGCTAATGGGATGGCCAGCTTTCATAACCTCTTCATGATCATAGTGCATTTTTTTGGAGACAAGTTCAAGGACAAAGCCCTTCGCCTTGTGATGGTGGCCATTTTAGACATGGTATTATATAAAACTCGCACCTCCTAATTTCTATTCAAGATCTCAATAGTAGCCAAACTTCCTTTCTTTACTTAAAACTTTTATGTAAAGCAACACTAAGTGCTTAATCCGAAAACTAAACTAATTTGTATTATGCAGATGGCTGTGGCCCTGGTATCTTCAGGTGATGGTGCAGCAACCTTCATGGCACAGCTAGGGAAGAACGGTAATTCGCATGCGAGGTGGAACAAAATATGTGACAAGTTCCACAAGTTCTGCGACCACGGCGGCGGTGCCCTCATTGCTTCCTACGTGGGGCTCCTCCTCCTGCTGGTTATTACAGTGTTGTCCATTGTCAAACTACTTAAAACAAAATAGACAATGTTGATGCCATAGCTCTCTTTTTTTAATGTATTAAATGTATTGCTTGTGCTGTGTGCGTGTGTTTGCTCTTGAAATGAAATGAAATGAACTTTCTTAAAATTACAGTCTTGACTTGAGTATATTATCTTCAAGAAAATCCATGCTAAATTTAGAGGGAAGAGCAAATAAAAGATGAATAAGGTACCAAACTTGGGCTTTGTTCATCTGGAATTTCGTCAGCTTGTTACCTGCCTGCCTGACCACTAAAGTTGGGAGTTGGCTCTCCAAGAAGGCTTTGCCATGAAAACAACATAAGAGTGCCTTTTGATTCTATGTGCCCTGAAGTTATCTTGCTTTGTGTACTGGGACTGGAGAGTTTCACACCAACAACTCACCAACCTAAACTAGCTGATTTGAATGATTTTGCTACATAAACCCAAAAAACTTAAGAGAGAGAGAGAGAGAGAGAGAGAGAATATGGAAAGGTTCTTCAAACGAATGATCATTTACCTAATCACGTTGATTGCACTTTAAAATGTAATTGTAAACATGAGATTTATCAAGTTCATTTGTGAGTAATTGCATGTATTCAAAATTTACTTTAAAATTGTGTAAGAAAATGAATCGTGAGTTTTACTTGTTACTCAAAAGTAAATCGGAAATGATAATCTTTATTAAAATTTCTTAATTAATATAACAACTTGTTAGAGTTTAAATGGAGTCATGCTCTGAATTTTTAAGATGAATGCATTGAGCTTTCTTAATTTCTCTTTCTCCCAAAAAAAAATAAATTTAAAAACACCCTCTTCACACACATTGGGTTTAAAAATGAGTTTTGGGTTGGGCCATTAAATCTTTCTACATCAACATAAATTTCATAACTTCAAAATAATCGGCCCTCTATAGCCTTTGTTCACCACCCTCTCTCTCTCAGATCTGTAACTGCAATCTGCAAAGCAGAGCAAATCGAAATCGAAACAATGGCAGCAGTAGCAGCAGGACCAGACCACCTCTTCAATCTTCGCAACAACTTCTACTTGGGCGCCTACCAGGCCGCCATTAACAACAGCGAGCTTCCCAATCTCTCTCCAGACGACGCCGTCGAGAGAGACTGCCTCGTCTTCCGCTCTTACATAGCCCTCGGCAGCTACCAACTCGTCATCAATGAGATCGACGCCTCCGCCGCCACGCCTCTCCAGGCCGTCAAGCTCCTCGCTCTCTACCTCTCCGGCCCCGATTACAGGGTTCGTCCGATCGTCTTCATCTTCAATTTTCAATTTTTGATCCCTAGACTTCTGTTTTAGAATCACAAACAATTGAATCGAATCGAATTGGATTGGATTGGAGATGTGATGAAATGAAAGGCGTCGTGTTTTGCAGGAATCGACGATCTCGAGTCTAAAGGAGTTGTTGGCAGATCCGGGCATCGGAAACAACCCTATTCTGAGACTGATTGCTGGGACAGTCTTCATGCATGAACAGGACTACAATGAAGCTCTCAAACACACCAATGCTGGAGGCACAATGGAGCTGTACGTATAATTTTTAACTTCACATTCACTTGGGCCTTTTCATACTCTAATTTCACTGAAGATCATGTTTGGATTAAAAATTGTAGTTCAAAAAGATAACTTCACTGTTAGATTTGCTCTCAGCTTTACATTGTTATTATCTTTAAAACGGGATGCACAGGAAATGCTTCACATTTTAGTTTCTTTAGCTTGATTTGTGATTATGTTTCTGTTCGTTCAGCTTTTAGCTAGCTAGTCCCATTAGATCAAGAAAGGAAGTTAATTAGAGGGTTCTACCAAATAATTCGAAAACCCTTTTCTTTTTTTAATAAGGAAAAAGTAAACTGAAACAAACTCTAAGGTCCCTAACATGTGAACTATAGAAACCAATTGTATTTGCATGCTTGTAAATTCTAGATGGCTTATGCAATATACGCCTTGCCTTCTGTTGGATAGTGCCTTCCTGACCTAGAAAATTAATCTTGGATGTAATTTATACTGAGGCTATTGATAAGCTGTGCCTTTACTTGTTAATGCATTACCATGTAGTCACATGTTATTTAAGTGTTGAAGCGGGAAGCAGAAATATCAATACTGATGATTTTGCTATTCTCTGAAGCCTGATACATGCTGCTTATGCTTTTTCAGGAATGCATTGAATATCCAAATATTCCTTAAAATGCATAGGTCAGATTATGCTGAGAGACAGCTGAGGGTCATGCAACAGGTTGACGAGGACCACACACTAACTCAACTTGCGAATGCATGGTTGAATCTGGCAGTGGTAATTAAGTATTTTCTTTTCCTTTTTAGTTCGTCTTGCAGACTAGACATCGTAGTGCACTTTTGTAATTTCACATTCTTCGAAATCAGGGCGGTTCAAAGATACAGGAGGCATATCTCATCTTCCAAGATTTCTCTGAGAAGTCTCAGGTTACAAGTTTGATCCTGAATGGAAAGGCTGTTTGCTGCATGCACATGGGAAACTTTGATGAAGCTGAAAGCCTTCTTGTTGAAGCACTGACCAAGGCAAGTATCTCAGTAATAACTTCTTGGGTTTTCTAGAGATTTTAAGGTGTGTATAGTTTGTATTGAGTCAAGTGCACAAATTTCATAGAGTTTAGGTCATAGTAAAGAAAATTGCATGAAAACATCTTATGCATACTCAACTAAGATCTGACTATACTTGGGGAAAAAAAAAAAAAAAAACCTAAGATCTGACTATATATAATCAGAATTCTTATTTCTCTAGATCTAGTAAAAAATGAGTTCTACCACCAATTTGTTACATTGCGCTGCTTTTCTTGTTTCCCTCTATTTATATTTTCTCCATGTTCATCTACTTTCCCATCAACTCCCATGTCATGGATTTTAGTGTTGTTCTATTAATACATTTAAGCATTCTCATACTGCGACTATGTGGAGATGGCATTGGATTGTATGTGTTTATTTAAGATTTTGAAGTGATAAAGTGTCATTTGTCACAGGATGCAAAGGATCCAGAAACTCTAGCCAACCTCGTTGTCTGCTATCTTCACCTTGGAAAATCACCTTCTCGCTTTCTCAGGTATTGGCTAATGTATCCTGCCACTAGAACACAAAATTTCTTTTCCGTCTCATCCATAAGTTTTGTTATTTCATGAGAGGACTGGGATTATGAAGTTGTATATCATATAAACTAGGTGCTACTATAGAATATAATGCTGAATGATTGGATTTTCACTGCTTTTCAGCCAATTGAAACTTGGGCACCCAGATCACGTGCTCGTCAAACGGGCCGCAGCTGCAGAAGAGGGATTTGACAGAGCTATCCAATCAGTTGCTTGAAATCTCTGAAGTGGTTTTTACACAAGAGCTGATTAGTGCTATTGTATACTCATTACACCTTTCGTGACGGCTCTTCTTTTGATTTGTAAGCTGATAATATATAAATTTAATTGGAAAGATGTATTTGGAGACACGGATCAAATCTTTATAGTGTTGGTTCTTAATCTCATTGTTGGATAAGGTACCTCATATAAAAATGTCAATTATGGGTTTGGTTTCTTGATTTCAACAATGTGTATTCTAAGTTTGTGATTAATTGCAACTGCTTTCTGTTTTTTCAGAGTGTTAATTGTATATATTGTGGCAAGCATGATTCTTGCCATTGTTGCATGTCAGAATTTAACTGATGGGATAAGGCCTACGTTCTTATTATCTTTTGAATCTTAATCAAAGGTAGGTCTACTTGCCACTGTTGGCTTGCTTGATCTACTTGAAACCTTGCATCCTTTTGTGGGTTTTGTGGATTTTGAATAAGTGGAAGCTCCTTTCTTTTCTGTGCTAAGACTACTGCTTTCACCTCAACGTTTCTTTTCTTTTCATTTTTTCAAGAGAAAATTGAGTAGTTCCAAATTTACGATTGCAAGCATATTGATTTCCAGCCCTTACAAACGACCAACCTAACAACTTACCTCAACCAATCTAAATTAAGGGGTTTGCCCCTACAGCCTTCAAAGGTTAAGATAAGTGTTCCTTCTCAAAGAAAATAGAATGTAAAGAACCAATCAACTATTTATTCATACTTGAATTTTATCTATATTATTTTAAAAAACGTGTACTTAATTTGAAGTGTATAATATGTGTATTCTTTTGTATGATTGAAAAGTGTACCAAAATTTTTAGTATTTTAAAAAAATAAATTTGTACATGTATAAATACACAAATCTACTAACAAGGCCGTAGACAATGGAGTTCCCTGAAGATCCGGATAGAGCAGATGTCAAAATTAAACCACTACTAACAAGCATTGGATACCAAGGAGAGAAGAATGACAGAAAGATAGGATAAAAGCTATACTGCTCCTGGGCATCATTATTGAACTATATCATCATTCGAATACACGTAACAGATTGGCTGCTCCTTTTTTTTCCGGCCACGTAACAGATAGACTACTACTAAAGAATAAACAACAAAAAATTTATATTAATTCTGAAACCCCTCAGCCTTTTCTTTTTTGGTTAATGGGGAATTCTGAAACCCCCCCTCTTCTAACTGAGCTAAAGAAGTGTGGCTTGAGTCATGCACTGCAAGGGATATTGTGTCTGTCTTCATGCTATGCAATGCTGTGACCATTTCAAAAAGACATTGCCAACGGGGTTCCGTTCAAGAATACATCGCCAACGGGATTCCGTACCCATCACGGTGTGACTTTTGCCATCTCCACGCAATCTGCAAACTCTCTTGAAGATTGGTGTGTTGAGCTGTCCAGTTGAGTTCACGCAGGATCTTAGATGGGTCACTATAGACCTCAGCATAGTCGCCAGGCCGACGGGGAAGGAAATCAACTTTGATGTCCACCCCAGTTGCCTTCTTGCAAGCCTCCACGAACTCCTTTACTGAACTACCTGGTAATAGACAGCCACATACAAGCTTAGGACCAAATTCTGCTATTCACTACAAAATCTCTTGTACAATAAGAAATGCAGTTAAATTCATATTGATTCCATTTACCCCTACCTTTTCCAGTGCCAACATTGTAGATTCCCACTTTACGGGGCTGTGCATGCTCAAGAGCTTTCACATGAGCATCAACCAAATCAGTGACATCTATATAGTCCCTTATGCAAGTGCCATCAGATGTTTTATAATCTGTACCTCTAACCTGCAAAGCACTTTCATTACTAAAATTCCAACCACTTCAAAGATCATAGGGAAAGATGACATGAGAAAACTAACTGTCCATTGTCCAAACATACGAAACATCCCAACTTTACTAGTGAGATGAAGATGATAAAAATGATCTTAGATATATGTACATGCTTTTAAATCCCAAACATCGGTTTTCTTTTTCCCCTTTATGGCATGTAACAATGAGTATGATTTTTTTTTTCAAATGATTCATGTAGGGTTTCCATAATTAAATACGGTGGGCTAGTCATAACTTTAATAACCAAACCTATAACTTCATCTATATCTGTTAATAATTAAACAACAGCATACCTTTAGCCCAGGAATAATGCTGCGAGCTGCATCAAAACAAGCACCTGATATTCGTCCATGCTCACGAAGCTCAGGTCTGGGAGCTTCGCCTAATCTGCCCTCTGGATCCGACCCAATCACATTGAAGTACCTGAAAGATTCCAAAATTTGAAAGAAAAAAAGTTTTGTGACAAGTTGCTTAGTCTACAGAAAATATCACATGGGCTTGAAGTTTTATTGTGCTCATTATACAGGAAATGAGACAAGTTGCTGACCTTCCCTAATCCAAAGAAATATAGACAAAGATGAACATAATTGTGAACAAAAACCAAAGGAAACTTGCAACTAAAAGAAAAAGTAAAGCATACTAGCTTTGCGCAGAGAGCCAATTTGTAAAATGGAATAAAGCCATAACCATCAGAAATCACGCAAAGGTTCTCAAGTTCAACAAAATCCCCATCCAAAACCCCGCATTCATTGCCACCTGAGCCAAAGCCCAGGTGGCGCACCAAGGTTTCAAGTCCAACCGCCACATGACTTTAGAAGAAAAGCAGGACTTAAGCTATGAAAAGTTGAAGATGACAAAATGGTCAAAAATATTGCCACGTGATTCATGTTTCAATTGCAAAGGAAGATAACTTCAAACTAATGGTGACAAAGTGGTTACTAAACAAGGTTACTCACAGGAAGGTACCTAGGTTAAGAACAATCCAAAAAAACATCAAAAGGTTTGAAAAAAAAAATTGTTATTAGGAAACCAACCTGAGGATCATGACTGCCATGTCTGAATTCTTAGAGAAATCCAAGATAATATCTTCTGCCATCTTCTTAGCTTTTCCATATGGATTAATTGGGACCTGAATTATGCAGTCATGTGAATTTATTGGCAGACCATCAAAGTCAACAACTAAACAAGTTTATTTCTTGGATGCAAAACAAAAATCAAGGTATAGGACAACCCACCTGTGGAGTTTCTTCAGTAATAGGCATCTTTTCAGGTTCCCCATATGTTGCACATGTACTAGAATATATCAAAGTCTTCACACCATGTGTAGCCATTGACTCCAAAACCACCAAGGTATTCGACGTAATATTGTGGTAATACCTGTGCAAAAAGCCAAAAATATCATTAATAAGATTATTTGCAAATGTTATAGCAAAAAATGCACCATTTGACTTGCTTATATCAAAGGATAGCCATATAGGAAGTCTTTTCTTTTTCAGGATAGGTTAATTAGTAAGGTATAAAAGGGAGTAGAATCAATGTGGACCAGCAGTCCACAAAAACTTAAGAACTACCCACAAGAAAACAAGCAGCCAGAAACAATGCAAATGAAAACAACAAGAGGACATCAAAGAAACAGGAGCAAACATCAAAACCTCAAAACTGAAAACAATATATAACAAGGAAGTTAACACCAAAAACAATATGATTCCAGCACAAGTAGTGATGTTTGAAAATTTTAATGTGGAAAAAGTTGAATATTATTAGGGAAAGCTGAATAGATTTCTTATTAAAATTTCAAAAATAATGGTGCCGCCCAGTGAAAGCAATTCAACAAATTCCAAAATATCAGTGTTTTTTGTCACTTAAAACTTCTATAGGCACCCTCTTGTGGACTAGAATGAGCTACAATTCCTGTAACCCTTAGCGCTACAACTCCTGTATTATTATCCTTGCAGCAATAAGAACAACAATCCAAAATTTCTTGAATCAAAGAAGTTCCACTGAAAACTCATTGAGCCTTACTAGCTAGACAGATCACACAAGTAAAACAAGCATGCTTTTCAGAAATTCCAGAAAGTCAGGCTTTCTGTCATCTAAAACTTTTATGCGCTTTTTTGCCTTGTAATAAAGGAAGCACAAGACTTTTCTTTTCTGTCAGCGAGAAATATAAACTACCATATCAACATCCAACATTACCCCTAAATTCCTAACCCTTAGCTGCATTTCATGTATTGCAATCCACATAGCATCACCAAGGGAAAAAATCAATAATTTCTTGAATAAAAAGAGTTCCGGTGAAAACTCATTCACTTTTATCACCTCATGTATAAAAAACCGCACAAGCAAGACGAGCATAATTTGAATAATAGTAAATGGTCCTGCTCTAGTTCATGCATAGTACTCACTTAAGTGGATCAAGGGTGCTTTCCCCCACGTATGCAACAGCTGCAAAATGCATCACAGCATCAAAGGCATTTTCTGAAAAAATTTTGTTAACCTGGAATATTCAGTTAAGGGCTACAATGGAACTTATCCCTTTTTATTTGCATAAATATTTTGAAAATACTTATCAAGGACATCACAAGGATACGGATTTTGCATCCCCCAAGTCAGCATAAATAAACTGAAGCCTTCCAGGTTCAGGAAATAGTTCTTGGAGAACCTTAATTGCACCTAGGTTTCCCCGTGAGAGGTTATCCTGTCAACAAAAGAACAAATCCTTAAGGATATACAGTAATTATCAAGTTAAATTACAAAAAAGACCCCCAACTTAATCCAAAAGAAACCTACCACGATAGTTACACGATATGAATCCTTCAGAAGTCGCAATGCAGCATGTGAACCAATAAATCCAGCACCTCCTGTTACTAGGACATGGGTTACCCCTGATTCATGAAGGGAGAACTGGACAGAAATAAATTGTACATGGTAAGAAAAAGTTCATAGAACTTCCTGATTCTTGTATCCAAGTTTTCATACCTAAGTATTAAAAACAAACAAAATATGCAGAATATGTGGCCAAACCAACAAATCAAAAACAAACAAAAAAATATGTGCTATCACTCTGTCAAACGACAAGAAGGTTGCAGAGGACACTTCAATTGAACCCAAGCAGGTATAGACAATAAGCGAAAAGAAAACACGCTGGATCAAGTTTGATAATCCCAACCAGAAGCAAGATGATAAAATGATGATAATGATTTCTCCTGTGAGGATGACTAAAATTAACTTCATCTTCTGATCCCTGTTATGATGTCCTAGAAAACGGTGAGGCTAGTTGGACCCCTTAATTGCTCAGACAGCCTCATCTGTTGTACTATGTCCTTGGATGCATGGTTGCCATATACTATGGCAACTTTCATTAA